TCTCTCTCTCTCTCGTCTCTCTCTCTCCTCTCTCTCTCTCTCTCTCTCTCTCTCTCTCTCTCTCTCTCTCTCTCTCTCTCTCTCTCTCTCTCTCTCTTCTCTCTCTCTCTCTCTCTCTCTCTCTCTCTCTCCCTCTCTCTCTCTCTCTCTCTCTCTCTCTCTCTCTTCTCTCTCTCTCTCTCTCTCTCTCTCTCTCTCTCTCTCTCTCTCTCTCTCTCTCTCTCTCTCTCTCTCTCTCTCTCTCTCTCTCTCTCTCTCTCTCTCTCTCTCTCTCTCTCTCTCTCTCTCTCTCTCTCTCTCTCTCTCTCTCTCTCTCTCTCTCTCTCTCTCTCTCTCTCTCTCTCTCTCTCTCTCTCTCTCTCTCTCTCTCTCTCTCTCTCTCTCTCTCTCTCTCTCTCTCTCTCTCTCTCTCTCTCTCGCTCTCTCGCGGACCTCTCTCCGTTTACACCATCCCGAGGGTTCCTGCATCCCGTCTCGCCCCCTCGCTCTCTCGCGAACCGCTCTCCGTGTACACCGTCCCGAAGTTACCGTGCTCGCTGTCGTCCCTTCGGCTCTCACGACCGGCGTCAGCCAGGCCTCCCGCCTCCCGCCCCAGCGGCGCGATCCCAGCGCCGCCGACGTGCCGTGCGCGCCGGCCCGTCCCAGCCGTCACTGGTGACGGCGGCGCACGTCTTCATCCGTCTCAGGCCGTATAGGGGACCGCGGGCGCCGACAGCGCATCTCGTCGGATCTGAGCACTGACAGGTGACATGCGCCGTCGGACGCGGACGGATAACCAGCCAGCTGCCGCGGCCGTGGCCCGCATGGCCAGGTTGATAGTAGGATGTTAGATGGAAAGATGTGTCGGATATGTGAGGTCTTAGCTCTTATAACGTCATGTTTGCCAAACCCCGATGGATCAGGAGGCTTAAGCACGCGAAGACCTTAACTGTACGTGTTTTGTTTCCGTGAAATAGTAAAATTTCACCAGCGCCGTCCAACCGAAAGCAAATCGCAGCTTAGCGAAACGGCCTTCCCCGGCGCCTCGCGACGTTACAACGGTGAGCGCTCCACACGCGCGAGAGCTTCCTACGTCTTCGACGCAGCGAGACTGTGGCCGGGTCGGCTGTGCGGGACACCCCTCCGTCCCGCAGCGCCGGGCCGTCGGCTGGGCCAGTGTCGACTCGCCCCGTCGGTCGGAACCACCGCGCTCATCAGGAGCGATCTGCGGCCCGCCTCTATTTCTGCAGCGGCGGCTCGCCCGACCCGCCCAGCAGCGCGGCCGGGTGCGGCCGGAAATCTTCATCAGCCTGTACAGCGCGGCCCGGCAGCACGCTGGGGCTCAGCCCGCCGCCCCCGCCGCCGCCGCCGCCGCCGCCGCCAGGGTTAATGAGGTGAAGACACGATACGGCCGGCGTCGTCACCGACGCGCCCCGACCGCCGGCGCAGCCTCGCCCGGCGGCGGCGCCGGTAACGAGCGTGGGACGGCGACGCTGCCGAGCCGCCGGCGTCGACTCAGTGTCGGAGCGGCCGCCAGAGCCGCAGGCGGGCCGCCGAAGGCAACCAGCTGAGCGTCAGGTCAGCTCGGGAAGCGATGAGCAATTCGGCTTATGAGCCCGCTCGCCCGGCGCTGATGCCGAGGCCGTGACTCAGGCGCGCTATCAAAGACGTCGTTTGTGGGCCATCAGTGGTGGACGACGGGCTGGCCGGATGTCGTGGATGGGGTCAGTCGGGTGAGAGGTCGGTGAGCGTCGGCGGGCCGGGAGGCCGGCTGCGGCGACAGGTCACCAGAGGTGCCCGACCCGGAGCTTGCGCAGCCGCACCGCTGACAGTGACTGACAGAGCCAACCGATAAAGCCAGGCCGGGTTCTAACGAGGCTCACACAAAAACCGCGGAGGGACAGATAATAGAAACTCCTTTCCACAATAGCGCTGTCGGAATGCCAAAGCCGCCGGCTCACGCTTGCTTCAGAGCGCACAAAACCTCCCGTGTGTCTCGGCGTTTGGTGCCATTCGATGGATCCGACGATTGTGGAATGCGGTTCGTGCGACATCCGCATAAGCACTTGACAGGTGTCACCAAGCGGCACGAAGCGGCGATTTTCTCATGCGTCAGCGAGCCACACTGCGCTGGAGAGCGGCTCTGCAAACCGGCAGCGAGTCACCATCCCCGATCGTGACTGGACGCACCTTCCTTGGTCAGCAGCATCGTGCCTGGTGATCGGATAATCGAGCTATCGGAATGTCCGCGGCTGGGGAGGGGGGAGGGAGGATCACAAGAACTACTCAGCCGCTGTCGCAGATTAGCACTTGCACATTATGGGCAAAGCAGGGAGACGATGCGTTAGTAGCATTCATGATGTTTGCGTCTAGCTGCAAATAGCAAGCTACGCGTGACGGTGCGCTGAGATTTTTGCAAAATTATCGCAAAAAACAATCGCAGCTGTGCGGGCTCAGAAATTAGGCCGTTATCTGACAGCGGCACCCAATTGCTTTACGAGCCGGGACTAAATCAGGCTGTGATGAATCACCCACCAACGAGAGAAGCGCACGCCGTAACAGGAGGACCCCCACAGCTCAGCAGGTCATCAGTCATCGTTGGTGACTCATGAATCATCCCAAACGCGGCGGCGGACGGGGGAGGAGGCAGCTGACCGCGTGTCATGGTCGGAAACCCCCAGGGAGGACGGGTGGCACCCAACTATCTCCCCCCCCCTCGTCCACAAACTGAGCACGAACTGGGACTGGGTGCGGAGCAGCGGTACTCAGCTTCAGACGCGCAAAATCTCAGTGAGTGTGAGTGGAAGCATGACCTCTGGCCCTGTTCGCTAGAGTGAGTTCACGCGTGTTTGCGTAGCGTCCTTCCCATGAAGACATTGCGCGGTCGCCGCTGGCACGAGATACCGCTTCCTCGCCACCGCCCACGAGCTGATTGGGAATGCCGCCTGCGGAGAGGAAGTGGGGCAGGTTTGAAAACCAAGTGTACACGGACACCAGCATCACTGATTTACATCAGTTATGCTCGAGCCCCCACCGTGCCAACTTCACATTACCTTGCTGCGTGACGAAGGACCTGGCCCGAGGTCAGTAGTGGTATTTGCAGAATAGCCAGGATGACATGCTTTACTGATGTCAGTATAAAACGACTGAGGGCTACGTGGAGTTGCCAAAGTCTGCTAAATTCAGATATCGCAGCTGTGCCGAGCCAGTCCGCGAGCCAACCCAACAGTGAGCCCACTCCATGCAGTCGCCAGCACGTCGAGTCCGCCAACTCCGGCAAGATGTGGCTGGTAAAGTAGGCTTACGATGCACCCGCGCCAGGTGCCATTTCAATCCACGATGTGTCCTTAGCGCCCTCGGGCCAGCAGCACAGTCACTCAGTCAGTCGGCCTCTCAGCTTGGCAATATTTCCCGACCTCTCGGCACGACAGCGTTCCCCGGCCCCTCAGCACGGCAACGTTCCTTTAACTCCCAGTACGACAGCGTTCCGCTGCCTCTCAGCACGACAGCGTTCCTCTACCCCTTAGCACGGCAGCGTTCCTCTGCCTCTCAGCACGGCAGCGTTCCGCCGCCTCTCAGCACGGCAACGTTCCGCTACCTCTCAGCACGACAGCGTTCCCCGGCCTCTCAGCATGGCAGCGTTCCCCGGCCTCTCAGCACGACAGCGTTTCCCGGCCACCCCGGACAGCATAGCACTGGCCGCCGGCCGAGGCGGCTTTGTCACCGCGCGCCGGGAGGTCGGTCCCGCCGAATTCCAGCCGGGATTCCAGCGGTCGCGCGCGCCGCGCCGGACGGCCGAGTGACGTGCGACCCGCGCGCAGAAAGGGACGGAAATTCGTCGAATTAGGCGGACAATCACGCACTCTCTGCGCCGGGACGACAACAGCACGGGCCTGGACTGGCAGCCGGGGGCTGAGCCGACCAGCTGTGAAGCCGGCCGGGGCTGGATCAACATCACACAGGGCATCGTGATAGTTGAAAATGGTGAACAAATATGTAGGTCATCTATATATCACGAAGAAATAAATCGCTTAGACTTCTTGATAAGTAAAAGGAGGAGACGAAATGATTGTAGTAGACGAAGCGTCCGTAAAACCCCCAAGAACGAGGAGCCAAAGGATTTACTCAAGTTAATCGGTCTAAAACTTGTAGCCTGTATGAATCAAAATTGGAAAGGCGTCGAAAGCTATCTTACAAGCTTAATGAGAACATCGGCATGTTAACTGCATTCGAATGATTGTAAGATAATCCTCGTCCTACATTAACGGGATGGCCCTAAATAAACGGAAAGAGTTGGTTTACAGTTACCGGAATGAAACCTTACAATCTAACAGCGTGCATGCTACAACAGATTATCAAGAAGCCCGCCCCACCACAGGGCTGTGTCACACAGTCCAGCCACGCTCATCACATTACGTGTCCGTACCAGCCTGTGTCTGAATATCAAGGGGGCCCGCCCGACTACAGGGCTGCGCCACACACTGTCCAGTTACGCTCATCACATTACGTGTCCGTACCAGCCTGTGTCTGAATATCAAGGGGGCCCGCCCGACTACAAGGCTGCGCCACACACTGTCCAGTTACGCTCATCACATAAGTGTATGTGTCGGTACCAGCCTGTGTCTGAATATCAAGGGGGCCCGCCCGACTACAAGGCTGCGCCACACACTGTCCAGCTACGCTCATCACATTAGTGTAGGTGTCGGTACCAGCCTGTGTTTGAATACCACTGCATGGCAAGGCTGACAGGAGCGCCGTTTTGAGGACTGAACTTAGGCCAACATTTCGGAGGGCGTCACCGGAATGGACGTGCTTAAAAAAGCGGAAAGCTAAAACTTACGAGACGTCAAAGCAAAGGACTTCTGCTTGTGTTCTGTGTCAAGGCGTACCAAAACGACCGGCAGCACGTGTGAGCAATAGTACAGCACACCTATGATGAAACGGAAGCCCGTCTTGTGTGTCGCTCACCGTTGCATCAAAAACTCAGTCACCGGGTCTCCGTCCCGCGAGTCCACGAGCCTTTACACCACGGGCCTGGCGCCGCCGCCACCCACCTGTGAGATGTTGAGCCCGTTGAGCGGCAGACACTGCTCCTCGACGCGCTCCACGGCGCCGGTGCGCTTGTTGCGCTTCTCGGCCTCCTGCGCCAGGTAGAGGTCCAGCACGGGCACCCCCCGCGACCTCACGTCACTCTCGGTCAGCGTGTTCACCATCAGCATCACCCAGACCGGCCGCTTCTGCTGCCAATTGCCGGTGATGGCGTTGAAGAGGTAGTCAGCGTAGAGGCCGCGACCGCGCTGGTCGGCCGTCATCCACAGCGGCATCATGTGGCGCACGTAGTCCAGGTGCTTCTGCAGCCGGCGGTACAGGTCGGCCGGCAGCAGCTGCCGCAGCCGGGAGCCGCGCGGCAACCGCTGGCACTTGGTGAGCGCCGAGACCGTGCGCGGGTCGGTCAGGTCCAGCTCGAAGTACACAGAGTCGGCCAGGTGGAAGGCGCGCTTCACGTTGTCCGGCACGTACTCCCACACCTGGTTGAACGGCACGTGGATCGTGCCGAAGAAGTAGGACGGCGGCTTGGTTTCGACGCGCCATAGGAAGGACGACTGTCGGACCTGAAATGGAGAGGTGGGGAGCTTAGCGTCAGCCGTCAGCTGCAGCAGTGATTGATAGTCATGCGCCGGAAGGGCGTGACTGTCGCAGCTCGGGCAGGATGGGCGTGGTACGATGGCGTTCAAGTTCGGTGGAGTGCGTAAATCAGGTTGTTTCAGCTCATGTTAGCTGTGCAAATTCCAACGTCACTCCATAGGGGATATAGGCATTGTAGGCAAAGCATCAGGTTTGAATTAAGCGAGTTCGGAGCGAACAAATCTTGCTCAATTATGGCCATGCCTCGGTAAGCGCGATCTTTCTTAACGTAGCACGCATCGGAGAAAAGGATGTACTCTTCTCGACATTCTAAGATAAGAAAGAAGCAAAAAATCCTTTTCTCAGCAGTATCAGTATCCTAACAGCGTTTTATCTTACAGCAATGGGAGAATGATAAGACCAATGTGACAAATAGCAATCAGCACCGGGGCACAGGACACCGGGCCTTCATTACGGACAGCCATTTCACGGTCTTTTCTCTCAGTCACATATTTCTTAGCCAAACCCAGCTTAGAGTTCGCGGGAAACGTGTTCCATGCCTAGAAACGCTTGGGATGAGGGTGTGGAAGAACGAGCTCAGCTTGGTTCAAACCCTGGACACCAGCGCTGTCTTCTTAAACGCACGAGCAAAATAATGAACCGTACGTGAACAATGCACGCATGTGCACACGCGCTTATCGCATTCCTGCGGAAAGATTGCCCACACAAATCTCCACATATTGGTGTACGCGTCACATAACACAAAAAATGTGTGTTATTTACTCACAAACATTCAAGGCCGCCGATGATAGGCATTCCAACAAACGCGTATCAGCATGCACACCGACATCGCATCGATCTCACAAGCAGTTGACGACGACCAAGATTAGTCCGTCCCGACCACCGTGTCATGACTCGGCTCCCGCCGCTATCTGGGGAACCTCGAGGTGAATTCCAGACACCTGAGGACCCCCTGACCCTCGGCACCTGCAGCCCTGCCGCAGCCTGCAGTCACGCTTCATCAGGCATGCAAGGCAGTCGGCAAATTCGCACCCAGCCAATCTGTCAAACCGCTGATATATAAGGGCGCCGGAGGCGGCGGCTAGTCTGTTCGTTAATCGTCCATAATCGCCTAGTCTGCTCGTAATCACCGGTTCACCACGGCGTGCTCCGGGAGGGGCGTTTACGGCCCGCGACGATCATCTGCGGGCCCGCTGCCGTGCACGGCGTGCACACTGTGCACAGCGTACAGTGCACGGCGGGGCGGGCGGCGACGGACAGGCCTGGTCGGAGGACCGCGGCGGTGCGCAGGTCGGGTGGGCGCGCGCAACCCGGTCAGCAGCCCGCACCGTGCCGCGGATGGCGGCCGAGGCTGGTGGGCTAGCCATGAGGTTCGGTGGCAGACCAGGAGCGCTCGCAGAATCAGGGATGGGGACTCGTCCGCGCGAAGCACTGTTGGAAACCCGGGACGTTGTATGGTCTCATAAGGGGAGACGTTGGGGGGCTTGTATTTTACCATCAAATTTACCCCTCCCCTTCCATTTGAGGTGCGGTAAAGCAAATCGGCGTGGGTATCTTCTCAGCCCTGCAGGAGTTATATCATGCTTGGAGGCATTCCTCGTGATGTTCTCAATGTGCAAAGCTGCGGTGGACTCCGGGAGGTTCACGACAGTGGCTCAGGGCTCGGCGCAGCGGCCGACCCCGGGGCATCACCCCAGGCGACCCATCGCTCAGCACTCCTCAGAGAGCTGGAGATCAGCATCCCTCGCCGTCAGCTGCTCCCGAGCACTCCCCTGAGAGCTGGAGATCAGCACCCTCCCCATCAGCTGCTCCCGGGCACTCCCCTGAGAGCTGGAGATCAGCACCCTCACCGTCAGCTACTTCCGGGCACTCCACTGAGAGAGCCGGAGATCAGCACCCTTACTGTCAGCTGCTCCCGGGCAATCCCCAGAGAGAGCTGGAGATCAGCACCCTTACCGTCAGCACAGTGTCCTTGCATTGCCGATTGAGTAAAACGCAATTCCCTATGATGAATATTTGTCACTCCTTTTCCCCATATTTTATGTGAATTTTCAATCATACCTGATGTTGCCTAACCACGCATACCAAACCCATATCTCCTTTCGGATGGTTTTGAGATGACGTCCAAAGCCGAGCTCACTTGAAACCATCAAGCATAAAAAGGTTTCACAGAACCTGGGCACCTACGGCTATATCCTGCCTCACCTACATCTGAACCACGCCTTTGTATGCACAGAGCAAGGACACCATGTACCTTCAAGTACCAGAGCCCAGCGACTGCAGCCGCTTGCATGCATCAAGCTTGGTTTGTTTACAAAATGCATCACAATCTACTGCGGTGTACCAAATGCAAGCTTGTCACGCATCTCCAGTTTTTGGGTTACACCGCGCAGACACCACGCCAGCAAAGCAAAGCCTGATACAAACACCAGCAAAGCCTGGTAGAGAATTTTACTCCACGTTCTCCTTTTACCCGAAGAATTGTCCACTAAACCGCACAACTCCCAAAATGTAGGAGTGAGAAATTCAAGAACTGCTTTGTAAATTAATTCTTAAAGCTGAATATCACTATTTGAGCACCCCTTTTCACTGATTTTTAGTCATGTTAGTTAATGAAAAAATTTGACTAGACAACATTGGGTCTCTACATTCGTTTAATTCCTTTTGGTTTTGTATTGGTCTTATGGGATTCTGACACAACTTTATTTTTCCTTCCTTTCCGATCATCTGTGAAGACACAATTATGGCTAAAAATAATGGCCATTTCTCTGCAAAATGCTCCAACTGTAAACTTGCATATATTCCTTGCTTGAATTGGATTAATTCGCCAGCCGCCCACACTTGTTTGATATTCTCCCAAGAGGGAAAAATTTATAGGATACGAAGGAGACAATTTGAAGCACGGAAGTCATTTTTACCGCCATTTTTGCCTTGTTAAACCCCTAATTAGCCGTTTTCGGTTCATGGCGTGGCTCAATAATGATAAATCTAAGTCATTCCAGTTTCACCACCTCGCCACGTTACATTACCCTGCGTACATAGCTTTGGGACAGAGCTGCGCATCTGATACAGAGTTGTTTGGAAGCGACATTTTGCCCTTCGAAGCTTTTTTCTCATGTAGGGCTCCTCTTACTTATTTTGTATTTTAATCTTGTAGGTTGGTGGACATGATTGACATTTGTATTTAGTACGTGGGTTGAATGACCCTGTCTGTCAGCAAACCATGCGAAAGATACTAACTTTTTGTGTGCAGGAGCAGAAATGAGCCTGCCCTTAAAAAGCCAGTAAGTTCCGTTTGTTGAGTACCTGATTCCTAGCCATACCTCTTTCGACGCATGATTCGTTATCAGATTCGACTATTGTATGTCTTAACCCGTCGAGTTTCGTTCATAGACAAATTTTGATGTCACAGGACATGTAATCAAATGAATTTGTTTTGTTCTCTTAATAATTCACCTTCAATTTGCTGAAGTGGTCCCTCATGTCTGCTTTCAAAAGATGCCCATAGTTATCTCGGTATGTTGACTTGCAAACGACTGCGCTGTAGATATGCGCTATATTTCTTAACACAGAAATACTCTAAGTTGCACAGCGATTACAATATGGGATAAATATCAGTTTTCAGGAAACGGTCGAATTATCCCATTTTAAAGGCAAGGCCAACACTTCAAACTTTATGTCATCAAAGGTGAATAACGAAACCTAAAAGGATGTCTGCTGCAGCTGAAAAGGCAAGCAGCAAAACTGGTTTTGTGACTATCCATAATTGTTGTTACATTCAGAGGAGAGAGATGATTTTGTGGAGCATACCCACCATTGCCCTTGACAGAGGCTAACCATGACAATTATAATAAGTTGTTGACCGAATAAGTGACTTGAGGAATTTTGACTTCCGTGTTGTCATCTTCGTCTGGTATCAGTACGCTGACACAATGAACTGTAGCAAAGCACAAGTTGAAAGCAGACATCAATAAGTTTTATGATGTTTTAATCACAACCACTGCTGTCAAGAAACCGGTAAGGTGAGGTGAGATGATATTCAACATATGGGCTACTTAAAGTCGGGTGATGTTGGTTAATTCCAAGACAGGTGGCAGTAGGACCTTTGCAAGAATCAGTGACTCACAAATGATGTTGTGATACAAGTAGGCTGGACAGGATGAGATGAGGTAAGGGTTTTTACGTTGGGCTCAGTCAGGTTGCTTTCATGGAGATAAGCACTGGTATTTTGCAAGAAACCTTGACATTATATTTGTATTTCCTGGCCCCATCGTAACAGAAGCCGAGGTATGTCTGTTTGTTTGGCTTGCCGATGCGTTTATGTGCAGGATTTCAAGTATTTTTCGTTTGAATGTTTTATCCTTATTTTTTATTGCTGATTTCCATTGTTTGGTTTGGTGTCCTGCAGACGGAAAGTGCAAAATGCAGCATCAAAACATTAGTATTACATAGTTTTTGGTGCTCATTACGCTTTTATAAATTGCTATAATCTATTGTACTTTGTTTTAGTGTAATGGCCTAAGATGTGAAAAACCAACACATTTTTGCGATGTTTATGATGTTACGCCCATGTCAACTTGGAATGCATGTCTTAGTTTGCTGAAGCATCTCCCGCTGAGTCATAGTTCCCAACTTTTATTAATTGAATTTTTCATTCCTGTACGGTCTTTTTGCGATGGGCTTTTTCACCCCACCCCATTTCAAAAGCGATTCTAGCTCACTGCCGTCAGCTGGTCCCGGGCACTCCCCTAAGAGAGCTGGGGGTCAACACCCTCACCATCAGTTGGTCCCGGACACTCCCCTAGGGGTGCTGGAGATCAGCACCCTCACCATCAGCTGGTCCCGCCACTGAGAGAAGCTAGTGATCAGCGCGATTGGCATGAACAGATGGCGCATTCTAGCGTCCAAAACCACTTTTCAGAGAATTGACATATTTCTGAACCGGCTCATTAAGTGCTGGAAAGAGGCGACGGCTCCAAATTCCTGATTGCCGCTAGGTTCACTCAAGCCATCCCCATAACTGGCGGACACCAGACTCCAGCACTCAAATTATCTGACATCTACAGCGCGCTCCGGTTACAGCAAGTCATCCAGGCTGAGAGGACCCACGACCTGGCTGTCTTCTGTTACACCGCCGCCGTGATAGGGGAGATATTGTAACCTCCGAGTCGGCCACACCGTCCCGCTTGCAGCGGACACATTGCAGCCTCCGATTCCGGATGTTCAGAACCGCGTTCAGCTCCGGGTGGAGTCAGGATGGATTCCAGAATCAGCAACCTTTTGATGAGCCATAGTTGATTCCAATGCTATTTGACGGTGAGGCTGAGTCCGGCATGAATCAAACACGCCATCGGAAACTTGGATCAGAAATGCAGGATATGCTCCTAGCCTACCAGCTCATATATGCGGTGAGCTCCAGCTGGAACTTCGGAAGAAATACCTGCACTGCTGCTAACAAAATAAATGCTCTTCTAGGCTTGAATGACGCTCTCAGTAAGGTTTACCTTCTAATCTGTTGAAATGCAATGGAATCGACTCTACCGGAAAGCACTGCGTGGTTGAGCTATATTTCACCGAAGCAGAAACCAAGCAGACTCTGTGTTGCACTACTTTGCATGGAGTCGGGGCGGGAGTTAAACTCATGAAAAGCGACTTAGAGCTGGAAGCTATTCTCTTGCAGCGGAAACCATCCCCCATGAAACAGAAGCCATTACCTGGCGGAGTTCAGCACATGTCTGCTGAATGTGGCTTGGCTACCTCTCTCAGACCGTCCCCGCAGCAGGGACGGCACCTCGGCTCCAGAGCTTTGACCACGTCCTGGCGGTATCCTCAGACGCAGAGACAAACGGGGGGACATACGGAAATCCTGTCCTGGAACCTGAAGTCTTCTGGAGCACTGCTTAATGCTCGGCAATTTCCAGCCAGACTGTCCCAATGACAGAAGAGACGCGCCGACCCGGGCCTGACACGCCGACCCCGTCTTGACGCGCCGGCTCCGTCCGGACGCGCCGGCTCCGTCCTGAGGCGCCGGCTCCATCCTGACGCACCGGCTTCGTCCTGACGCACCGGCTCTGTCCTGACGCACCGGCTCCGTCCTGAGGCGCCGGCTCCATCCTGACGCACCGGCTTCGTCCTGACGCACCGGCTCTGTCCTGACGCGCCGGCTCCATCCTGACGCACTGGCTCCGTCCTGACGCACCGGTTCTGTTCTGACGCACCGGCTCCGTCCTGACGCACCGGCTCTGTCCTGGCGCGCCGGCTCCATCCTGACGCGCCGGCTCCGTCCTGAGGCGCAGGCTTCATCCCGACGCACCGGCTACGTCCTGACGCACCGGCTCCGTCCTGACGCGCCGGCTCCATCCTGACGCGCCGGCTCCGTCCTGACGCGCCGGCTCGGTCCGTCGTGAGACCTGGTGATGAGCTGGCGGTCTGCCAATCGGACGGCGGCTTCAGAGTCCCGATGATGCACTGGCGCGCTGAGGAGTCTGCGATGAGGTGGCGATCTGCAATCAGGCGACGGCTTCAGAGTCCCGATGATGCACTGGCGCGCTGAGGAGTCTGGTGATGAGCTGGCGGTCTGCCAATCAGGCCGTGCGGGCCGGCGGGGCGGGCGGCGCGGCTCCAGACGACCGATAGGCATCGCGCGTGTCTGCGGCGAGCTCGTCATTAGAGGCCGGCACCGCCGCGCGCCGCCGCCGCCGCCTCCAGACGTCAGGCCGTAACGAGCCGCGACCGGCGGGCTGACCTGGACCGGCGAGACAAGCCGCACCGGCGGGACCCAGGCTGCCGGTCAGGTCCGGACGAGCCAGGTCCGGGGCTGACCCAGTCCGGCGGGACGAGCGAGACCGGCGCGACCCAGGCAATCCTGTCAGGTCCAGCCGGCGGGACCAGGCTGCCGGTCAGGTCCGGACGAGTCAGGTCAGCGGGGCTGACCCAGACAGGCGGGACGAGCGAGACCGGCGCGACCCAGGCAATCCTGTCAGGTCCGGACGAGCCAGGTCAGCGGGGCTGACCCAGACCGGCGGGACCCAGGCAAGTCAGCCAGACCTGGACGAGCCGGGTCAGCGGGGCTGACGCAGTCCGGCGGGGCTGGCCCAGACCGGTGGGACCCAGGCTGCCGGTTAGGCCCAAACGAGTCAGGTCAGCGGGGCTGACGCAGACCGGCGGAGCGCGACAGACCAGCGGGATCCGGGCTGCCGGTAAGGCTCAGACGAGCCGGGCGAGCCGAACGAGTCGGCTGGCGACAGACTGGTATGTCGAATGTGCCGAGACAAAGATGGGTGTGCCGAACACGCCGGAACGGGCCCGGGCTAATTAAACGACCAGGGACGAGCCCGGGCTAACTAAACGACCAGGGACGAGCCCGGGCTGACTTAACGACCAGGGACCGGCCCGGGCTAACTAAACGACCAGGAACGAGCCCGGGCTAACTTAACGACCAGGGACGAGCCCGGGCTAACTAAACGACCAGGGACGATCCCGGGCTAACTAAACGACCAGGGACGAGCCCGGGCTAACTAAACGACCAGGGACGAGCCTGGGCTAACTAAACGACCAGAGATAACCCCGGGCCAACTAAACGACTAGGGACGGGTCCGGGCTAACTAAACGACCAGAGATGACCCCGGGCTAACTAAATGTCAGGGACGAGCCCGAGCCAACTGAACGGCCATGGACAGGCCCGAACTATCTAAACGACCAGGGACAGGCCCAAGCTAAGTTAACGACTAGGGACGGGCTCGCGCAAGGTTAGGAGAGGCCGCACGCTCCGGCACGGGCTCAGACGAACTGGGAGGGCCGCTGGTGGTCACACGTTGGCGGAAGCGGTGCGTGTTCAACACCACTCGATCAGCCGCGGCCAAAGGGCGAGCACCACACAGGTGGCCGCGGTACTGGAACCCGAGGTGGGATGCTCCGGACCACACAGCGCCGACGTCCTCCGCACGATGGGAGGGGGACCACCGGCCGAGGTGGGTGCGGCGGCACCGCGGCCCGGCGATCGGACCGCATACCAATACCGGCGCCAGATCAGAGCACGTGTGCACGTCGTGCCGGTGGCGCCGCTGCACGCTCTTCAGAGCTACGCGCATTGCGCCATACAATACTTCGGTCGCGTTTAGTCGACACGCAGAATCTACAGACAACGATAGGAAATTCATCAATCAAAGGATCGGCGGGGACTGTCGAGTCCTGTTGAGTTGTCCGGCGGTTGAGGTCAGTTCTGTTCTGTTGAGTTGTTTCCAGAAACGCTTTCTGTTACGAATACAACAGTTGAAGACTATAACTTAGGCCACATTCACGTCATTTAAGTAGCAATTCACCCACGCGGCGAACGCACACAACCACACTCATATCTCGTATCTCCCTATAAGCTATCCAGCCCTGGAAGTATGACAGTCCAGCAAGGGTCACCGGCCAGGCACAGCCTGAGCATTGTCCCCAGAGGTGTGCACCAGGCAGAAAAAGTCGGCCGGCTGCCCACCGCCGTCAGCCGCGCAGCCATTTACAGCGCTTCATATAAAGCGACGGCCCGTTTTTCCGGTCATCCGTCTTACCCACCTGTGGGTCGCAATAGTCGGGTCGGCGCGACCTCCGCGCCTCGGTGCCGTCCACAAAAACGCCCACCGCCATCAGCTGAAACAAACAGCGACGGCGGGTCAGATGCGGCCACGGAGGTCACAGACGGCGCGCGGGCCAGATGCGGTCATGAAAGGTCACAGGCGGCGCGCGGGCCAGAGGCGGTCACGGAGGTCACAGGCGGCGCGCGGGCCGGAGGCGGTCACGGAGGATCACAGGCGGCGCGCGGGGCACAGGCGGTCACAGGCTCGCAGCTCAGAGGCGAAATAGCCGGCGGGCAGGCGAGGACAAAGACCCAGCGAGTCCACTGGGAAACACCGGCCGTCAACCAGCTGGTGGTCGTGCGGGCCGGCTGCCCGGCCGGCGTGGACCGTCACGCTGGAGAAGTCACACAAACCGGCGGCCGACTGGCCCTGTGACTGACAGGTCAGCTGACCCTCATCTCGCTCACTTCCACGCAGTCGGCGCTATCCGTGCAGAGGAACACTCAGCCACCCAGACTGTCCCTCGGCACCACGTCCTCATTTCCCGGGACAGAGACGGGATGTGCGGCGCGGCCGCCCTGGCCAGGGTCTACGGCCGCCCTGGCCAGGGTACTACGGCCGCCCTGACCAGGGTATACACGGCCGCCCTGACCAGGGTACACGGCCCGCCCTGACCAGGGTACACGGCCGCCCTGACCAGGGTACACGGCCGCCCTGACCAGGGTACACGGCTGCCCTGACCAGGGTACACGGCTGCCCTGACCAGGGGACGCGGCCGCCCTGACCAGGGTACGCGGCCGCCCTGACCAGGGTACACGGCTGCCCTGACCAGGGTACACGGCCGCCCTACCAGGGATACACGGCCGCCCTGACCAGGGTACACGGCCGCCCTGACCAGGGTACACGGCTGCCCTGACCAGGGGACGCGGCCGCCCTGACCCGGCCCGACGGTGCGCGCCGCGTCAGCTCAGCGGCGCCGCTGCTCAGCGACAGGGCAGCTCCGCGGCCCGCCGCCGCCAGGGCCATGATGAACGCCCTGCTGGCCGGCGACACAGCTGGAGCCTTCGACAGCCGGAGATCGATGAACGCGCCGATTAAAAATGAAGCGCCGGACCTTGGCACAGCTAAGCGGCGCTGATTGACGAACGGCGCCGGCCGGCCGGCCGCCGTGGTACACACAGCGGCACACCTCCGGCCACCGCGGTACACACAGCGGCACGCCTTCGACCGCCGTGGTACACACAGCGGCTTACCTCCAGCCACTGCGGCACTAACAGCGGCACACACAGCGGCGCACCTCCAGTCACCGCCGTACACAGAGCGGCACACCTCCAGCCACTGCGGCACTCACAGCGGTACACACAGCGGCGCACCTCCAGTCACCGCCGTACACACAGCGGCACACCTCCAGCCACTGCAGCGCTCACAGCGGCACACATCCGGCCGCCGTGGTACACACAGCGGCACACCTCCAGCCACCGTGGTATACACAGCGACGCACCTCCGGCTATCGTGGCCGGTGCGGTTCAGAAGCGCGCAATCTCATTATGCGCGTGGTTCCGTCCGCGGTGCTGGCGACAGGAGAGCGTGACTGAGGCATTTACGAGCGCCGTGCCCCCAGCTGGTGGGCCTGGTGGCGGGCCGAACCGCCTTTTACCTTCTTTTTTGCCGGTCGGAGGGGTCGAACATGACTGCCGCCTCAGGTGGGGGAAGGCGAAAGGCTCAGACAGTCAGCTGACCATCCATCACCGGGGTGTAAGCCGTGACTTCGCCCGGTAAAAATGGCCGCGCTCGTCATGAGGTCTTAATCCCAGCTGCGCGATCCCTCGATAACGGTTCTGTCCCATACGAAAAGGGCAAATTGTACGTCTGCCATCCCTTACCCGTTGTCACAATCTAATGGTAATGAGCCGGCGGCGCGGCCGGGCTGGCTGCGCGGCCGGCCGCGGCGGCGCCTCTGATCTGACGGCGAGCGGCTCCCCGCCGCGGTCACGTGACCGCCAGGTAGGGTCGGACCGCGCGGCGGGGCGCCGACAGCGGTGCTGGCGCCGCCTCCAGCTGACCCTGCCCGCTGTCGGTCCAGTTCACGGAATCGGGGGGCCAAACGCCGCCGGGCCGGCCTGCGGCCACCGTGCCACGCACTGCCCGGCTGCCTGGCTGCCCGGCCGGCGGCGCAGCACCGGGCAGCGCCAGCGCACGTCACACCGGCGCTCGGAAGTGCAGGTGTTACTGTTTGCGCCGCCGGGCAGTCGGCGCCAAACACTGGAACAAATTGGCGATGGCACGGCACGCCAAACAGGGGCGCCGAATTTAAACGGCGGGCTCCTCCTCTTCCCACGTCGGGCGCCGGCCAAGCACGGTAAATATTGGAACAGAGGTGCCAGCAGCGCCTCGCGGGCGGGTCCGCATCAGCCTGCGTGCTTCTTACGACGGTCCAGTGTTGTCAGTGTGGTCACGGTCCCACCACATGCCTGTTCACTACGTTCTGTCAACTCAGGCGTCGCGAGATGTTTAGGCATTTGGGGCGGGGTTCCGGGTGTCTGCACCCAAATTCTTGCACGCGCGCTGACAGCGCGGTGGTTCATTCCAAGGAACCAGGAGATTCTCGCGGCGAAGAAGCCGAACCTGGGCGATAAAGGCCGCACTGAACCGGTAACAGACGATCAGCAGCACCCAAGCCGCGCGACGGTGCCTTGGAATTCACCGCTTACCGCAGAGTAGGGCAGCAGTAGGTACCCTATCGATTACTTGTGGCTAACGAGACCACCCACGACACAGTAATCATTCGGCGAAGCGCCTCATTGTTTTGAATGAAAACGATTTCGTCCACCCTCCCGCTGGCACCCACGCAAAGTCATATTCAGCAAACGTATTCAAGGTTTCGGGAATGATGTGTCGATCGGTTAAAATTGCCGGGTGCTCAGGCAGTTTATGGGTTGGCTGCACATGGCTGTACATCCCTGAGAACAGATTTGTGAGGACCAGATCCTGACGGCTTTAAATTTTCGCATTTGACGTACGATGTATTTTGCATATTTTGGATGCAAAATGGCTCTGGCTCCTAGCCCTGAAAAGAGGCATCCCAATGATCGGTGATACCTTTTGGAAACCGTCAGGTTATTTTGAAAGGTGCTGGCTACAACCGAATGATCGGCAGATGCAGGTACTGACAAATGTATGTGCCATTTGGGGTGAAACGGTTATATCAGGGCAAAATAACTGTCCGGTATCAACAAAATCTTGACCCACTGGTAGTCGACATTGAGACTTCTCGTGTTGGAAATAGCCAGCTTTTAAGGAGGTGCTGGTTAAACGACCGTATCAAGAAGCCCTTAGGATATATAATGATAATATTCGACGCTTCAAGGCAGTCAAAGGTCACGCGTCTCCTGACCGCCGTGACTATGAGCGCGGCGCCGAAAATTGTCACGACGTATCTAAAAAAATGTTTGAAAAGTCGTTAACTACTTCCTGGTGTATTCGAGATGGGTTATTTTCGGCACGAGAACTCATAATAAGCGACAGTGTATATTCTCACCATAGGTTATCACAAAATAGTCATGATGGCTGGGGACACTGCCGGAAACATGAAATGCGTAGCATACGCACAGCACTCACCACAAAAATAAGACGAAGTCGTGGGAGATGACTAAACCCTCCCCGTCGCATTTTCCCCGCACTCAAAGTCATGTGATGAAAACGTCTTGGCGGCCTAGCCCGGTCCCCATAGCGCACTCCGTAGTCACCGCACCAGAGCGGGTGTCCCACGCGCACCACCGCTGGCCATCACCCCACACGCACTCACCCCGCCAGCGCCCGGCAACCACTGCTGCTGCCATCAGCAGGCCAGGCCGGCGGAGCGGGCGCGGGCGGCCTTCCTGCCCCGGGGCGGCCCCACCCTGACGCCGCGCAGCCAATCACCGCGCGCCGGCCGCTCTTGGCGGCCGAGGTCAGACGAGTGACACGAGCATCGACGGAAAGGCGATGTTTTCCGTCGGTGTATTTGGAGCCGTTGACATTTAGCGGATGGATGCAGCCGTCGGCCCAGATAGTTGCCAGTGGGCAGACGATCAGAGGGCCGGGCCGGCCCGCGCTCTTTGAGGGCCAGCCGTCGGCGGGCTGTGTTTGGTTGTTTTGGCTTCGACGCCCGCGCGGCGCCATCAAAGAGGGTATATCGGAGATCTGAGCTCGGGAGCCGCCCCTTGCCGGCGCCGGCCATCGGCGTCACTAGAACGCCGACTGGAGCGATTAATGAGGGCTCCCGCGGTGATCACCGTCGATTAGAACAGAGTGAGGCTGGCGGGCAGATGGTATCGTGTCACAGCCGTTGCACCCATACAATTGATGTTCGTGCTTGGGCGCTATAAGCGTATGCTCCACTGGTGTCTTTTGCATCATGCTTGGGCAGAGGCTCCTGGTCTGATATCCGGCTTGCTGCTTTCATTTCAGGAGATCAAAAGCAGGGCTTGCTTGTCCATAACGACGTGGGTTTCACTCGGAGATGTATCCGGATAGGACCCGTAGCGCTCCTGTGGTTGACGGGGAAGCCGATCCCGGTACCCGGATCAGACCCGGATCAGACCCGGATCCGGGCGTGGTGAAAACATCATCCCGGATCCCCTGCGTTCTACAGGATTGGAACGAAATGGCCATCTTATGCATTCGTTGGTGTAGCAAAGTCGGCACTGTGGGGAAGAGGCAAAGAAAAACAATCACTTGTGAGGAAGGTGTACAGCTTAAGCCATGCCTGCATGCATCGGAGATAACTAGCATGCTACTAAAGCTCGTTGGTAAGGTCTTCCAGTAATCCAAGCTTCACATGTTCAGAGGTAAGCCGATAATTTCGAAGTTAGGAGTAGATTATGAATGTATCCATGGTCATGCCTGGAAAGGGTAGATAAGAGACCGGGGGTTTAAAGCTGAACGAGCACGCAGATGTGACATTATAGCGTACGCAAGCATAAAACTAGCCAGTAATGTTTCTTTAAAAAATCACCCTTCGTTACCTGGTGGACAAGGTGGAGATGGGGCTTTTTGCGGTCGCCACAAAATAATCTGCTGGTTCTTTTCAAGTGTGAGCATGTTTTCTAAAAATCACAGCCAGCTAGATGTCAAGGGTCATGTCGAGTTGATATTAGAACCAACGTCGCAGTGGGAGCCGATCAACGGACTCCTATGAGCGCGCACTATCTTAACGTTACCTTGAGGCCCATGACAGGGCGCACTCGCATCATTTCAGGGTGACATGACAGGGTGCACTCCCACAGGGTGCACTCCCATCATTTCATACGTGCAACCGCAGCAAACAGACGCGACTTGCGCTGGATCTGTTCAGAGATCACCGCTTTTAATTAAAAGGAGCATGCCACCTTGTCTGTACCTGCCATGCGTAGTTGGATCGGACACGTCTACTTTGGTCGGTAAATTCAGTGGTCTCGAAATTCTCCTGAATTATTCAGAACTTCAATTTCGAGTAGCTGCTCCGACGGGAGAAATGCTATTGATCTCCCTGCTAACCACTATGAAAGCAATGCTTCTCACTCATTTGACGTTCCCAATACTTGTGTTGTATAATGTTGTCAATGCACCAATTAGCCAAAATGTTTGGGAGACAAATAGGGCGATAGACAGAAACCCTCCCTTAAGGTAAAAATATATTTCAACATGAAGCCATTATCACGCGCATTCAATGCAACGTCGCACCATAGCTTTTAAGGCGTTGAGCACGGTGGTTCTCTTCGAAGGGTGTTTTGGCTTTGTGCAACATTGCTTACTTAAATGTTCAGTTCATTACAAGGCTTCTTTTACAAACCAGGTGTATACCAGCAACAAATCATGTGGTCTCGTGATGCGCATATGCAAACATCCACCAATGCACCTGTCGGTCAATGCTTACGCCACATGTCCACTGACGTCAGTCATACCCAACCCAACGACCTAGGCACAAATGTGAAATACGCCTACTTCCGCAGTAATCGTGGTTGAAGGTGCCAAGAAATGTAAATGAACATATTTGGCTTCGATTTGCCACAAGTAGTTCCATCATGAGCAGACCAGCCTCACCTGACTAAAAGGGTAAGCAAGCGTCATGAACCACGTCTCTGAGGTTGAGATGGCAAATCAGAATAAGAGGTGGAATCAAATCTAAGTTGGGGAAAAGTGTATGTGAAACTGACAATTGTGCATGAAAAAATGCGGAAAGCGTGTATCCTGAGGACTGCATGTGGTAGAGGACAAAAATACACCGACTAAATTGGGGCACATGTTTTCCCCGCATCCCCCACCCACCAGTGGCTACGACTCTGGTGATCATGAAAAAAATAGAGTACTGGTGATGTACAAAAGCAAAAAAGAGGATTGACATTTCAGATTGTAAAAGGACTGGCTCCCTACTTACAAGACCATGGTATAGTACTTAATGTTATACCGAGATGCAATTATTGCGTGCTTCTGCGCATTGTGTGCTTCTGCTTTACTTAAATGTCACTTCACGTGGCTATGTGATAACATATAGATGTCATGCGGTGATATGAAGTACAATATCAGTAAATAAGCAGACGTTATAGGAGGCAGTGCTGCCGGTGAAGTGACGACAGTTACTCTTTATGAGCAAACAAATCTGGACGATCGTCAGAAGTGCACATGTAATTCTGCGACAGTGCAGCAAAGGCTCGAGCCAAACTCGCCAGCTGTACACGAAACAATAACCACGTAACTCAATTCAGCAAAGAAACTTTATAGTTGCCATGATTGCAAGCAGGGGCGGCACCACAAACTTTTAGTTCGGGGGGGGGGACGGTGTAGCTGGCATGCTTGTTAAGGGGCCCTCCGGGAAAAAAATGATGTCTTTGTTTTGGATACATGAACCATACCCAAGAAACAAATGCCGAGAACACAATATGGAGCATCCTTATTATCTAATAAAAGGTCTCGATAACCCAAACAAGGCTACCTGTTCTAGAAATGGGCCTTCTATTGCATGGAGGGACCTCCTAACCCAGAATTCTGATTCCCAAAGGGGCCTCAAGATCTAGCCAAGGAACCTCGCAATTCAAAATCAGGATAGCCTCATTCGAAATTGCAACGATCTGATGCACGAAAAGAGCCTTCGATTCCAGAATTGGGGTCTCCTGAACATAGAGGGTGCTTCCTAACTTGGAACAGGGCCTCTTAGTTTGCAACAGAGGCCTTCCGAATCAGCAAGAGGCCTTCTTAAAGCGCATGTTTCACATTTGAAAACACGGAAGCAAGCATCAGATGTGACGAAATATGCTCACTTACAACTATTGGCCTACCTTTGAGTGGAAAAGGTTGCTCTGGACAAGGTAGTTTTCCGTTTAATAAATGTACCCCACGTTGTGTCATAATTGGATCACGTCATCGTTCCCTGCACCACATTGATTGAGAACCAATCAACGGCAATCATATCTGGAAATTGTGCAGATATGAACTACTCGTCAATGATATATTTATTGGCCTTGAACGCCTCGGGAAACAGAATGCCGCAATGTAACAGCAGGATTTCAATGATGTTATGATGGTGTCATGGATGCTTGCGTGACCTTAAAATAGTCCTCGAAAACGTCTGCACATATTTGCGAGTGTGTAGCTCAGAAACTAGAAAAGCTTAGGTCTTAACAACGGCGAGGCTGTGAACTGCACCAAACGATCATCAAGATGACTATTTCAGCCCTAACCTCCATGAAAATGTGGAATACCCATTTTAACATAACATTGGTCCTCCTGATCTGGAGCATGGAGCACCTTATTCATAATGTATCCTCATAATCCAGACAAAAGGCCTCCAGATGTAGAAAACGTTTTTTGAGCCCGCTTTATTACTCTCTAGCTCAGTTATGTGGGCCTCCTCGACCTGACTCTGGTAACATATGGGTAAATACGAATCCTTTGGTTTAGGAAAAGGAATTCCACATTTTTCTGGGGGCAATATATTCTTGTCCGCCTGCAGAGAGAACAACTGCCGCCCCCCCCCCCCCCCCTGCTGCGCCGCCCCTGATTGCAAGAGCACAGCATAATAAGGTATCCGATTATATACTTATGCTGCACAGCGTTTGCTGTTGTTCATGATTTCTGCTAAAGCTCTGTATCTTTTCATTTGCACAATCACAGGGTAGAAAAAAGGTGAAAATTGGTAATGGACATTCTATTGGTCCTAGTAAAACATGGAACATACAAATCAGTGCATTTTGTCCTCCTCCTTTTGCACGCCAACGATGGCTCATACTCATGACCAATACTTCTGATTGTTTTTGTCTTTTGCCAGCTGCTTTAACGTGTAGTGCAGATGACATCCTCTAGTAATTATCATGCAACATTTTTGGAAAATCAGTCATTGCGCGCTAAAGAGGACAACTCAAGCTGTACGGTGTCCTTCCTACGCGCATGCCTATTCTGTACTACAGTTTATAAGGACCCAAAACAACCTTGAATTTCATGCTGGGGAGCGTCGCCTTGAGTGCGCCAGTATCGTCTATGCACGCGATGACGTCTAGAATACTTAACACGCGTCCGGGTGGTCAGCTAGATACCCTTTGCTCGGGTGGGAGGGGTCAATTTGACCCCCGCAGAGATTTCGGGAACTAAGAAAGCTAGAAACACCAAATTTCAAGGGTATCTTGACCTGTACGTGAACTCACTTAGGTTAAAGTTTCCTAGGTCATGAACTTCAGATCAAATAAGGTCAAACAAGGTCAAATTCCAGGTTAGCCACCAAAGTGCCCCCAGAACCTAGATAACTGTTTCTAAGCAAAAGGCCACAGGCCCATTTGAGGCCACTGACCTGAAACATTTTTTTGTTTGACCTTTTAAAGGTCATAGTGACCAAAAGCATGCAAGACTGCCCCGAGTTTTGCATTTGTATAAGCGACAAAGATTACGTTAGGCAGTATGTTCTTAAAACAAAACGTCGGCCCAGGTCATCTCAGGTCAATGATCTATTTTTGAACTCTAAAATGCTCATGGAAGAAGTATAATGCGGTTCCTGCTACCAATAAATTCGAAATAAGCACCAGAAACTATCCCATACAGCGAGCACTAGAATAACAAAACAGGTTGGTTTTGACCTTGGTGTGACCTTTGTACCTGGCATAAGGCCAATGTTATTTGCTCATTCAACTGTTGTGTTACCTGAGAAAGCATCTCAGAGATGTATGGCTTCGTCTAACACTCCGTTGTTGAATCAGATTGAAGGATTTCCTGGAAATTGCTTTCGCTGAAACCATGGCCTGAATTTGACCTACCATAGATCAGCGACCTTACACGATACATGTAAAGTTTTGATGCCAAACGATCTGCTATTTAGTTGTCTACAGCTATGCAAAATTTGGCTCGGCTACGCCGTGCCGTTTGGGAACTATTCTTGAAAACCCTTCGGGAGGGGGTCAATTTGACCACCCCCCGCCCGAGCGCGTGTTACAGAAGAAAACAATTTGTGCTGTTCTGTAATACTGACAGGTTGATTCGGACTCGGAAACATAAAGTCAGTTACTTTGCGATATATTCTTGTTGATACAGTTCCACTACCAGTGCTATCAATAGTAATGATAAATCCCAAGGGTTCACGAGAGCATATTTCTGAGACATCTTCAAAGGCTGAACGTACTTTCTTGGAAAGCACGGTTTTACAAAACCGAACCATTTATCTTTGCAAGGTCAAACAGTACTTCACTAACGTGCCTGCGGTTGTGGTATCATTCCAACATGTAATTGCTGACTCACCTACACGTAAGACCCATGCTGTCAATTTCCTTCAGACCGTGTCGGCTGTTTCTAACCACATTTTAAAGGATTGGGCAGGAGTGGATTCCACCATCTCGCACTTGCTGAAGTTGAGGCTGGAAGGCGATAGAGTGCTGTTCATCCCAGGTCCTGCAAGCCTTGAAAATTGACCACCCGTCCTGAGTATCGTAAGCTTTATCAATTGTGTAGAGATAGTTGTCTTGAACTTTTTCATGATGGAACTACCTTTTAAATGAAAATCCTGTAAATTAGACGGTATTCCTCATCCGGAACTCCAGATTGGAAACAAATATGACACCCTGGAAAGTCAGTGTTGGCAGTACCAGCTGAATCCTGAAGCAACGTGTCGGACCGCATCATACAAAATCCTGAAACAATGTGTCGGAGTGCGTCCTAACAAAATCCTGACGCAAGGCGTCGGTGTTCATCCCTAAAAATCCCGAAACAAGGTGTCGCAGTGTTTCCATACAAAATCCCCAGGCAAGGCATCGCGGCGCGTGCCTACACAATATATGTGTATATATATATATATATATATATATATATATATATATATATATATATATATCAGGCGGAGCTTCTCAGTTGCGAACATGGAAGGTGGAAAGGTGATCTACTCCTGGTTGGCTGAGCAGAGAATCAAAGGCTGAGCCAAGAATCGGCTCATCTCTTGGAGAGAATCCGGTTCGCTGACAAGACCCACTTTTACGCGGGCGTTCTGATCAACAGCCAAGACAACCAGCTCTGGTCAGCCGAACTCCCCGAGCTGACGCAGGAGAGGCCGCTGCGCGGTGCAAAGGTCACGGCTTAGTGCGCCATCAGCTGCTCCGGGTCATTGCACCTCTGAGGTTTGAGGACGAAGACGAAAGTTCGATCACCGTAACATCTGAGAGGTCTCAGAACGTCATGGAAATACTGTGCATTCGGCCTCCTTGGTACAGCGTCAACAACTTCCGCAGTCGGTGGTTCCAGCAGGATGTTGCTGCTGCCCCCCCCCCCCCTCCCCCGCCCCCTTGCAGAGCCACCATCGGACGCCCCTGGTGGGCCTCGACCAGCCCGCAGACCCGTCATCCAGCATCAGTTACGCAGAAGACGGGGCTAGTGTTAGCACCGTTTTATCTCTAATATTTCGGCTGCGAAGAAGCGCACTGTGCAGCTGTGTTATAGATAAGTGATAGTTTTCGCCTTGCAGGCGTTGGCGGGAGATGAACTTGACGCTGATGCACCCTTAAACACCAAACATGCACCACCACGTTACAGGCAGAGCGGAATCGAGCGACAAACCATTGAAAATGATGTCCAAATGATCCATCAACCGAGCCACTGGGGGCTTGACATCTAATTGCCTTACGCATGGTATTGATGATGTCCATGTTCATGGTAGAGTGGTGCTCATTTCATGCGGTAGATGATGTTGCTAGCAAAGATGATATGTGAAATCCATGGGTAGTGTTGTGTGAATGTCACAATCAGTGCGACGTACTGCGGTCTTTTTTATTTTTGTGAGGTCTTTTCATCCAGAGGTGCGCCGGCCAAAAATGTTGTGGTGGTCTGGCAGTCCCGGCCTCTCCCTAGTGAGCCTCCCGCAAGAACAATATCCGCTTGACTTCAGGCGAGAGCGTTTAGGAATGCTGCCAGTTGATTGTCTACCCCGCGCCTACATACGGATGGCTGCTAAACCAGCATTTCACGCCTTGTGTGACGTGGGACGAGCAAGGCGACAACTAATATCAATGTTCTCAGCCGTTAAGTAGATGATGCGAAATATCAGGCTGATGAAGCCATACCATTCGACGACCAATGCCAGCAGGTTTTATAAATGAGTTAGAAAGACTACTTTTAATGATAATCAAAAAGGCGCAGGTCCATTTATAGAGCATTCGCGTCCCTTTAACAATGAATCTGATTGAAGCGAATATTGGGGACTAAGGGCCCCGTCAGGCTTGGTAATTTGGACCCTGACAATCAGCAAGGACTTACGGGTTTTGTAATTAACACGTATTTTCAAAAGAAAACAAACATTTTGGTTCGAGTTTGTCACAAAACCAGCGCTGCCCGTACACTCAGAAACACAAATCCACTCGGCAAACGGGTGACATTCGAGTCTTGCTCATAAGTGCACATTTTCCAGAATTTTGCCTTTTTACTTCGGCTGCAACCGATGCGATGAGAAGCACATGCCCAAATCTGTACGAGCGCTTTTGACATTGACGCGATTTTTTATACCGGCATCAAATCAGGACGCCGTGGGAAATGGCGGCGGCAATGTCAGTGTCAGTGGCGCCCGGATCACGACGATCCTGTGTCACAGGGTCACGAAAACAACACCGTTTGACAAAAGAGGAAGAGAGTACTGGCGGCAAATGGTACTGACGGCCTCAAGGGTCGACGTGTGCGTGCGGTCACGCGTGATCCGGTGCCATCTACGGGTCTGCCTTATTGAAAGTGCTTTAAGGATTGGTGTGGAAGTCTTCACAGGCAAGATTTCCCTTACCCAGTCCACTCGCTGTCCATGGGGCGGCATGCAAGCCTACCCGCTACCCATTCCTAATCATCGCTGTCATTGGGGCTTTACGACGCACTCAGCTGCTGAGGCTATATGGCGTCGCCTGCCTCTCACCCTGGCAGAAGGGCGGGCACCGCAGAGAATCGAAGCCCGTACCTCTGGCTTCTCAGACGTGCAGGGGTTAACGCAAATGCGGTAACGACTTCACTACCGGCACCCCACCCATTCCGTTTCAGTTTTGCCCATATTTTTACTACTGGTCTACAGTTCTGCGGCACCTTAGTTCCCTTTTTTAGAAAAGATCGGGAAATTTTGCATCCAAACCCTATCATGGGGTGCTAGCTGCAAAAGCTTAACTAGATTTGATCTTGACCACAGAAAGGTAGGTAGTATTATCTTCTACGCTTTGAAGCACCTACCCAAGCCAGTTATCCATTACATGATAGTAACCATCGGTTTACCCAGTCCACAAAGTCCTCTAGATTGGCATATGTCGGCAATGAGACCCAATACAAGCGTGCGAATTTTCCTGTCGCAAAATCCCTGGGCGTACAGCCCTTCATCCCATAGGCTCGCCAGTGGTCGATCGATGAACGGCCGATGCCCCCTTCTCCGAAAACGATCCCGAGTACATCACGTCACTGCAGAACTACTCGTGTTTTTACATTGCTTCGGTGGCAGTACTTCCGGTGTCGCTGGTGCAAGCGATACCATGCAATTAATTTCGCGATAGCAATGCCGGCAGTATTTCGCAGCATCAGTGCGCTGATAACCCTTTCCTGCCCCATAGCAGGGCAATTTCGTGGGCTCAATGCCAGAAATGTCGTCCCGACTAGCACCACGCCTTTCATTATTACGTTCTTAACGCGTAGTGCTAGCCGATGTCCACAAGGTGCAAATACAACCCCGCACGTGAAAATAGCGACTAATGCTGCGATTTACGTCGTAAAAACACATGGCTTCTAATTGATGCAAGAACACAAGAGACTCTTCGGTTGCCGGATACCGCAAGCCGCGCACATCACCTGTCACATAGCAAACAGTACGCACGATCTCCTCTAGCCGCCCCACCTCATCTGTGTCCGCCAGTCTGGTAGCTGACTCACAAAGCTAAGGTTCCGGCGGCTCCGCCAGATGTCCGGAGCGGCGCGCGCGCCCCTCCGCGGCAGGTGTGCGCGGCTCGCCAGGCCGTGAACCCCGCGGTGATTGTCCGCGCGTCGGCGGCGGCCGCGGGCGAGAGCGACAGTGTCCGCTGAGCCGCGCAGCAGAGGCCGCCGCTGCTGACACCGTCCGCCGAGCCGAGACCTGCCTCGACCCGGCGCACGGCGGCTCGGCCGGCGGCGCATCGCGCTACCTGTGCGCCGCGGTTCCGGTTGGCTGCTGACGGCGGCGGCGGCCGGCACTCGCGGCCCAGTTGCAGCGCGGCTGTGCGCGGCGAGCGGCGGGCGGTGGCTGGAGCGCGCCGTGGAGCGGACGACCGACGCGCGGCAGCACGCGCCGCCCACCCCCGAATGCGCCGGCAGCCCGGGCGGCGGCCACTTCCGGCGGCGTAGCGGCCATTTCCGGTGTGCGCGGAATGCCGCTGTTCAACCGGCCGCGGCGGCGCGGCGCCGACTCGGCCAGTCCGGTGAACGGACAGCGCGCCGGTTCGGACAGCTCGGGCGAGGGCTCGGCGGGCCAGGAGCGGCGCGCCGACTCGCCGGCTCGGCCCAAGCTGGTGTTTCACTGCCAGCTGGCGCACGGCAGTCCCACCGGCATCATCTCCGGCTTCACCAACGTCAAGGAGCTGTACCAGAAGATCGCCGACTGCTATGACATGCCCGTCTCGGAGGTGAGGCCGTCTGCTGGATGCGGACCGCGCGGCAAAGCTGTGAAACGCGGCTCTGGAACACTGTTACAGAAAATGGGAGAGTTGGGCGTTGGCCACCGATTAGTAAAGCTGAGCTCTCCTGTGTTTGTGGTGTTGTGTGGGCTTCGCCGCTGTTACATGCAGTATTGTTTGGCTCTCACATTACATGCTCACATAAACTACATCTATAACATGATGTCGACCATGCCGTTTCACATGTCGGCCGAACCTGTCGCAGTCAACTTTTCCACTGGGCTGTGATCGATACAAAATTTCGAAGATCCTCTTCACTCCCACGCCCTGAGAAAACGTCAGGGCATGGGACTGACGCCTACGGCACGCGTCTGCCGACGGCATCGCAGTGCGGTGAGCTCCACCCACGGCCGGCGGCCTTATCAGGTGGCGTGTTATGGCTCCCCCGCAGTCAGGTGTTGTGGCTCACAGCGTATCACACATAGGCAAGGCACACCCACTGCTGAGCATGCAGGACGGAATGCTGGTCGACAGGAGAGGTGTGGTTATGATCGGGGCCGAGCCCAAGAGGCTGGGAGAATAGGATCGACCTTGCCTGCAGCGGAGTAGGGAAGTGTGAAACAGGTATAGTTCACTGCACCGGTGCTGACTGGCCAGAATTTTGCCTGAGGGAAAGCAATGCTGCCGCCAACCTTTCAGTGCTTCAGATTTCCAGAAGGCTTGGAGAACAATGCCGCATCTAACAAAGGAGGGTGGCTGGGATTTGTAGGGGACAAACTGAGATTCCAACAGTTGCTCTGAAAGGGGCAGCTGGCGCTCACCAGTCGTACCTGCATCGAAAGATCTCTGACGTCCACCCAGTAACAAGGCAAGAAACTGACAGAGCAATAAGCATCTGGCATGCCATGGGCAACGCGGACATCCGCAGGATAAAGCCATGGACTGAGGCTGTGATGCACGCTACAACAAGCTGCTGCTTGCTATAACAGATGCTAATGCTATAACAGCCACCTGTGCCAGCCCACCCCAGCCAGCCAGCCACCAGCCAGCCAGCCCACCCCAGCCAGCTCGCCCCTGCCAGCCCGCCCTAGCCAGCCTGCCCTAGCCAGCCCGCCCTAGCCCGCCCCTAGCAAGCCCGCCCCCAGCCAGCCAGCCCACTCCAGCCAGCCAGCCCCCAGACAGACAGCCCACCCCGGCCAGCCCGCCCCTGCCAGCCAGCCCGAGCCAGCCCACCCCAGTCAGTCCGCCCCCAGCCAGCCAGTCAGCCCGGCCCCAGTCCGGGACGGCCGGCCGGCCCCCACGTGATGAGTAATCGTCGGTGCGGACGTGCAGTTCGATATACGTCGGCGGCGGCCGCGCCGCCAGGTGCGCTGACACGCGCTCTCCCCACCGGCCGCCGCGCCGCGCCACAGCTGGCCGCGTTTCCCGCCGGTGACGTCATCATCGGCGCTGCCTTGCCCGGCTTCGCCGCTGCCCTTTGTTTCGGAGGACGCCGCGCCGGAGGTGGCTAAACGGCCGGCAAGTCGTGAGGGGCAGCTGCTGGAGCGTCGGAGAGGTGGAGGACTGCTCACGGATTGCTGGATAACTGCGGCATGCGGGAGGCCACGAGAAGTGCGGGAGCTTATTAACGGCAGCAATTAGGCGCCAGAACTCAAAACCGTTGTTTTTCAACATTTGAAATTGGTTTAACGTATGAAAACAGAAATATATTTTGTTATGTATGATATATATATATATATATATATATATATATATATATATATATATATATATGCATATATAGCATGCTATATACTGTAAAACAAAATGGTAAGATATGGCAATAAATAAACAATTAAAACACAGTTAGGCCCATTCAACGTAATGCATCGCTGCTGGATTCGCTTTTATGTATAAGTGGAAGTCTGCCAGCCTCCAGCAGCTGTTCCCTTAATACTTCCGTGACTTTCCAGACTTAACGTCATGCCGGACCCATTCCAACCTTGAACAGCTGACAATCAAGGGCACATATTGCCTGGATCGATAGTTAATCGATCAGTATACACCACCACGTCATTAGAATAAGGTGCATTGAATAAGCGATAGGAGAGTTCTCGCGGCCCAGTGGGTTCCCTGTGGTTGCCCGTTGTTTCTCCCATCCCAGTGCGTTGCTATAAAATTATCGCCGTCCTCCATCCAGCTTGTTGCACCGTCTCTCCCCTTCCCTCTCTCCGCCTCCGCTTCCACTTGTCCCGTCTTTCCTCCCCTCCGCGTTTGCACCCTTCTCTCTCTCTCATCTCATCCTCCTCTCTCTCTCTCTCTCTCTCAGCTCCTCTCTTCTCCTCTGTCGTCTCTCTCTCTCTCTCTCTCTCATCCTATCTCCTCTCTCTCTCTCTCCTCTCTCTCCTCTTCTATCTCTCTCACTCTCTCTCTCCTCTCTCTCTCATCCGCTCTCTCTCTCTCTCGTCTCTCTCCTCCTCATCTCGTCTCTCTCTCTCATCTCTCCTCTCTCTCTCCTCTTCCTCGTCTCCTTCCCATCTCCCACTCTCTCTCTCTTTCTCTGCTCTTCTCTTCCTCATCTCACGCACATCCGCTTCCACTTGTCCCGTCTCACATCCGCTTTGTATCCGTCTCTCCTCCCCCGTCTTTCGCACACATCGTGAATCTTCCACAGCGCATCCGCTCTTCCACGCATCTGTTTCACACCGCATTTCTCACTCTGCATATATCCCACCGCAGCTCTCTCATGGCACACATATCTCATACCGCATCTCTCTCGCTGCATCTTTCCATCCCTCGCTCGCCCATTTCCCCCACAATTTTCCTGTTCTGGTCTCGCTCTTTCACCCATGCCCCCTCCCCTCTCTCTTCTCCGTACCTTTCTTTTTTCTCTATGCTTACCTTTCATGTCTTCTTACGAGGTTTTGGATTTCCATCCGCTCTACAAGTTGTGTTGTATTTTTTACGCATTTCTCTGCGTGCCTCTCTTGGATATCTTACTCCCCACGATAATTTCTGTGGTACTTTTCAAATGTCAAACTTCATCGCTTACGTAGTTATCTCTGCTCAACCTTAGCAGTGGCTGTCGCCGCGTTCCTCCGCATTCTCCACTTCTACGCCTTCGCATCTCTCCCTGCGTCTTCCTCGGTCTTTCCCGCCTCGCTCTTGGCACCCCCACCCCTGTCCAGTCTCCGCGCTCCCCGTGCTGCCGTTGATGTCGACCCGACGAGGCTGGTATGCCGGTCCGTCTGCCTACAGTCGTCGCCCACCTGCCGCTGCTCTCGGCGTTGGGTCAATTACCCGCGTCTGAAGAGCAGATCCCGCTGCTCGGCCTCCTCTGCCTGAGCCTATTTAGCTCGGTGTTAGGTGTGATGGCTGACGTAAGGCGCGTGGTGACTGCTCGCGGTCGCGGCGCCGCAGCCGTGGTGGGCTTTTTGATCCCCCTCTTCCTCTTTCCCCTCTTCCGCCTCCTCCTCCGCCCTCTTATACTCCTAATCCCGCTCCTACTCCTGTTTCTCCTCCTCCTCTCCTCTCTGCTACTCCTCCCTCTCCCCCATCCTCATTCTCCTCCTCCTCCTCTCCTCCTCCCCTCCTCTTCCTCCCTTCTCCTCGTCGTCGTCGTGCTCCCCCTCTTCCTCCCCCCTCTCTCAGCTCTTCCTTCTCCTCCTCCTCCTCCCGCTCCTCCTTCTCCTCCTCGGCCCGCTCCTCCCCTGCTCCTCCTCCTGCTCCTCATTCTCTTCTTCCTTCCTCCTGTCCGTCCTCCTCCTGTTCCTCCGTTCTCCTCCTCCTGCTCCTTCTTCTCCTGCTCCCCGTCTTCCTCCTGCCCCTCCTCCTCCTCTTCCTCCTCCCCTTTCCCTTCTGTAACACACGTCGCGCGACCTTGCCGTCTGCGCAGACATCGTGACGAATTTCCAGGGCTTCGACAGCATGACAAGCCGTGCGTTTACAAACCATGTCCTTTTGATGATCGCCTCTCGACCACACTTCGGAAAAGCTGAAGGCTCCGGCGAGTCAGGCTGGAACTGGCGCGTCAGGCGAGGTCGAGGACGTCCCAAGTGTCAGATGGCCGTGGGTGCGCTGTCGGATTGGGGATCAAGTGGAACGCGGGTGGGAGCATCGTGTGCAGCAGGGCTCACAAGAGCGGCTGGGCCTGCGCGAGGCTGCCTGGGACAGCACACGGGGTGCCGTGTATCGGGCGCCGCGCAGAAGCTTGTCGCCCTTAAAACGGACTCATACCGGGCATTTTGAGAAGCCTCCCTGAATGCAAGCAAAAGTGATGGAAAATAAAATGAAATCAGATATAAATGTGGATCATAAAATGAAATTAGTCGATATGCTCGATCTGGCAGATATGCTACGTTTTCCTTCTGTGGAGTAGCCTACTTGTGCGACGACAGATGACACCTCGCCACAAGATGTCCCGAGTTGTCATCTGTCGCCGTAGCGTGTCACACACGCTGAATGCCCAGCTTGTCCGATGCATGCTCAGAGGGGAGGGAGCGCTCTGTCAGGGAACCCCCACCGCCACCGGCGCGCGCCGAAATCCTCTGGAAGGAAGGAATGTCTGCGCAAAGGGATAGGGCACGTCTCGCTCGGGAGCTTTTTGGACGAAAAACGTGAGCGCTGTCGCTCCGCTTGGAGGCGGAGCACACCGTGAAATGGGTTCCGTCTGGCTCTGTCTCGCTGCTTTCGCTTTCGCTCTGCAGCTCGCCCGCCGCTGTGAGTGTGCTTGTTCTGGCGCGACGCCTCCATGCCATCCGATTATCAGTCCGTGACAAACCGCTCACAGCCTTGATAAACCAGCCGGAAACAACGGAGATCAGGAAGGCAATTCATCGGCCCGATTCCGAGGCTCCGTCATATCAATGATAATGGGAACGAGAAATTGACAGGGTTATGGATCAGCTAGCGCAAGCCTGCGTACGATCTCTTCTTCAGATTGTTCATCAATATGCAGCGGTAATGTAGCTAAGAGGGCTATAAAGAAGATCGCTGGCTGTCATTTGCCAGCCCATCATCATCAGTAAGTGTGCTACGCTGCTGGTGCAGTTGTTGCAACCAAACCGCATTATGTTGTCACAGTAGTGGCCTGTTCCGTCGCGTTAATTGTCGTACAGCCGGCCGATCCTGGGCATCGCTTGCTCGTCATTCGCGGCCGCTGTAGCTCTCCCGGCCTGGACGGATCGTGGCGCCTTCGGCAACCCCACCACCGACATGTCCGCCCACTGGAGCGTCCCGTGCTAACGCTAGTGGAGAGCTACTCCTAATGCTCGAGCAGTGCCTCTTTCATCTTCTGACTGGTCCTTGTAAGTTGTATTTTTGCTTTGGGAATGAGAACCTTTAGGCTGTAGCAGTCCATGCGCAAGTCCTGCTCCATAGACGTTTGGACTTATCTATGTTGGGCATCAATGTTGTACAGGTGCCTTGAATGTGGAGGGATGTTTGCATATGGTGTGGCACGACGTGCAAGGCATCCCCTCCCCACCCCACCCTCACCCCCCACCCCTCAATTTCATGGCCGTGCTCATGGCCATGGCTCCCCCACATCCGACCCACCCAAACGAATTCGCTCATTTTTCTTGAATGCAGGGCTTGCACGCCTTCGGTTCCCTCGCCCGTGGGAACTGCCGTGACGGCTACTGCCTCGACCTACTTCGATGTGCGATCTTGGGGCAGGCCAACTGCGGTCATTTTCGCCCTTCGATTCGGCTATGAGACTATGCAAGGTGATGTCGACGTTATCTACAACAGCTCAAACAATGCTACTGAATCCGAACGTCATGCCTAACAACACCACAATATTTTGGGAAAACCTAATTGGCACGACCGATTGTGGCACAAGCGCGTGGCATCAGGCCTCGCACGCAGCGACGCACGCATCGTGGTGAGTCGGTTGGTTGGTTGCGTGCACCTGGTGTGCCGGCGTATTTAGCCAGGGTCAGGTGACGTCAGAGAATGCCGTGAACTAGCGACGCCATGTTGGATTATGGTGCGCTAGCTAGGCTGTTCATGTTGGTGTGCGGATATGGACGAAAGGGGCGATAACCGACTCAGCGAGGTCCTAGTCAGTCTACCGATCATTTTCGAATATAAGAAGATGGAACTGGAAGGATGCACTGGCGTGCTGTTTTACGAGGCTTATGAAATGGTTGTTTTTTGTTTATAATGCTTGATTGCTGATAAATGATTTTCATTATTTAATTTTGGTTCTCAGTTGCCATCCAACACTTAAAAATTGGCTAATGTGACTGCAACTTTTGGTTTCCATTAGCCCGAGCATTATGTGTTCCCAGGCATTCCTCGCCACGATACAAGGTTGAACGCTGCGCACGAAATATATCAGGTTACCAAACCCGGAGACGCATCGGATCCAAAAGTTCAGGGCCATTCGGCCCGTCCACGCGGTCCCAGCTCGCGCCGTTTCGCCGGGCGCTTTGTTTTTTGCCACCGCTATCCCCGCTCGCTCGGGATTGTTCGCAGGCGGCACGAGATAGCATCGGCGTCCCACTGACCTGACACGGACCGCCTGGCGGGCCGATAACACCGGCTCTCCGACGCAGCACCTGACCGCCGCGCTGGCCAGTGGCTGTACCCGGCCATGTCTGGTGGTGGTGTCCAATAGCATCCAGTCACAGGAGACTGATGGTTAGGATAATATCCGAAGCTGCGCAACGGTTCATGGCATTACATGAAATCCCATCCCGGATCAGCAGGGTATCGGTAGTATCTGGTATATATATATATATATATATATATATATATATATATATATATATATATATATGTGTGTGTGTGTGTGTGTGTGTGTGTGTGTGTGTGTGTGTACAGGAGTGCGGTATGTCCACCCAGTGTGGGAGCGCCACACACTGCTCTGCTGCATCACGTTACACCCCACCAGCCCACGACAGCATGCCCTGCACATGCCGAACCGGAGTCGGTGCAGAACGATACTGGTCGGAGTCACATGTTAGTGCTGCGTCACATTTCCGACCTGCGAAAGCCTTCGCCCGATGGTCTTACGTGCAAAGCCATGCCGGTGAGCACGTGAGCAATGAGAGGGTGGGTGGTCGAATAATAAGGCGAGTGGGTATGTGGGTAGATTGGTGAGAAAGCGGGTGAGCGAAGGGAGCGCGGATAAGTGCGTGAGTGAGACAGTGAAGAAAAAGGGGCGAGACATGGACAGAGAGAGAGAGAGAGAGAGAGAGAGAGAGAGAGAGAGAGAGAGAGAGAGAGAGAGAGAGAGAGAGAGAGAGAGAGAGAGAGAGAGAGAGAGAGAGAGAGAGAGAGGAGAGAGGGAGAGAGAGAGAGAGAGCATGGAGGTTAGCATAGAAATTGGAGAAAGAGATGGAGAGCGAGGGATAGAAAGAGAGAGGAAAGGATCGACAAGGGCGGGGACCAAGAGGCACGTGAGAGAAGACAAGAGAGCAAGAACGGAGATCGGACGGAAGGAAAGCGCGAGAACGACATGATCGAAAGCTTGGAATTCGATAGCTCCATGGGAATCGCCAGCACATGGCAGCTGGCTCAGAGAGACAGCGGCTGTAAATGCTGGTGTTCTCACGGGCTCAGTGCACTTGGGCGGTCAACATGCTCAGAGGACGTGCACTCAGCGTTCGGCGGGCGAGCTGAGTGGACGACGACCATCAGCGGGCGGGGACATCACGCCAGAGGAGAGACGGAGCGGGAGCGGAGCCATCACACCGGAGAAGGGACGGGGCGGGAGCGGGGACATCACGCCAGAGAATGGCGGAGCGGGAGGGGGACACCACGCTAGAGCAGGAACGGAGAGGGAGCAGGGTCACCACGCCAGAGAAGGGACGGAGCGGGAGCGGGGACATCACGCCAGAGAATGGCGGAGCGGGAGCGGGGACATCACGCCAGAGAAGAGACGGAGAGGCCCGCGCTCACAAACGTCCCCCTCAGCCGTCCTCACGGCGCTGCGAGGCTGTCACTCTCATACCTCGGCCGGTGTGGCAGCGTTGCCTCTGTTTGTCAGCGGCTGGCTGTCATAAATACCGCAAACGCGAACACCAGATCATGTTCGCAGCGACCGGACGAGCGGCACCGCCCTGGTGGTGGTACCTCGGACCGATCGCTCCCGCTTTAACATGGATCGGACCTCGCCAAGCCTCGGGCGCAGCGAGCGGTGCAGTTCGTGAGGCGTGAAGTTCGATCTCACGTCACGCCACCGGGGTTACGGTACTATGAACGTATTTGATGACTTTTCGCCCGCGCCAGGGATATTTTCCTTGGCACAGGCGAAACACCACGGCGAGACAATGCACCGGTGTCCTCAAAAAACACAAAACTGTTACCGGTGTGAGTTACCGTCATGTGCAGGGTGCACGTCATGTGCACCGGTGGTTCGAAGGCCAGTCTACATTTAAAGCAAACGTGCGTGCCGCTAGATCAAAATAAAGTAGTGACTTTTGGTCGCATTTCAGCGACATCCATGAACAATGCTGTACTGCCTGCGGTGAAATTAAAGGTGTGGTTTAACGTTTACATATAATGGTGGGATTGGTACAAAAGATGACCGGATGAGATGAAAAGATGATGAGGAGCGTAAGTGCTATAGCTTCACGAACGGCTGAGGTGCATCATCAGTAGTACGTTTGGATGAACTGAGCGACGGGGTACATGTTGTGCGCTCCAGACGAGGACGGAAGTCTGGACAGTTATGACATCCGTAATACAAATGTCTTTATGTAGACCACATACTGATACGCCTCAAAATCATCTAAAAACTGAGCCCACTTTGATGACGCATACGTCCTCACCATTCACCAGCGTGTGCTGGCGCGTGGTGGCCTTGGCTCGCGCACTGGCGCAGTCTCTGTCGGACCAGTTCCGGATGTTCTCGCGTGGGCGGGTACTGATGTGACGTCACGCTCATCAGCCGTTCGGTTCTTTTCAGATACTGTTCTGCACCCTGAACACGCACAAGCTGGACATGTCGAAGCTGCTCGGGGGCCAGATCGGCCTGGAGGACTTCATTTTTGCACATAAGAAAGGTGAGCAGGAAAACGAACGCAACCATCCATACTAGTTAGACCTTGAATCAGCAGGGAAACAATGACGTTGCACAGGGTCAACGGCAAACCTGATTCTAAAAGATTCGATGGGTTTGATTAGCTCGCTCATGTTCAGTTCACTAAACACCCGAGCACCCGCAGTACCTGCCTGAATTTTCAGCATGGCGGCCACTTCGTAACTTGCGTGACCGTTCGATCTAGCGCTTGCCAAAAGGATGGGTGTGAGCGGATGTGCCGCTTGTGTTTCACAAGCTTAAATGTTGCATGCTTTCGCCATCGTATGCGGCAGAACTCTGTTCCTTGTACGTAGCATATAGAACTAGGCGTATCGTTTTTTCCAGCACCCTCAATAGCCTTTTCCTTAACATTGGGAGCCGCGGGATATCTCCATCCAGCTTCAAAATAGCCATGCATTGTCGCCGGCCCTTTTGCACGACGGGACCGTTTCTGTTTGGCTACCGGCGGCGGCAGCAGCGACAGGAGCGCTTGGCCGCCACCCGGTGCACGCTGGCAGCGTACAGTGCACACCGTGTTGCCCATGCAGCCGAGCGGCGCTGTTGCACGTGACCGTGCACGAATCAGCGCCGCGGGCGCGGTCCGAGCCGAGACGCCAGACCACCGCTACCCGATCTCAGAGCCGTTCAGTGACGTCACGCTCGGTAGCCGGCGCAGCGGGGACGGGGTTCACTGGCCGGCATGGTCACTTGAACGGCGCGCTTTGAGCATGAAGCTGAGTTTGGTCAGATTGTAACGCTGGACGGTGTACGAACGCGACGTTTATCAGTCACTGGCATGGCCTAACTGATGCGTCGAAGTAAACTGATTCTGTCCAAGAGAGCCTATTCCCGACAAATCAGAACGATCGCCGGACGCACCACAATGCTCTAAGCATTGCCCGTCTATCTTTTGACCGCGCAGTTTCGCTTTCATCTCACATTGGTGACAAGCGTTGTACCGAGAGGATGCGCTCGCTACCTGCTAACAGCTGGCGTCAGCACTGGTGACGTCACTGACCCAGCCAAAAACCCACATTACCCCCGTACCGCTGCAGGTCAAGCCAAGGAGATCGAGATCGTCAAGACGGAGCAGGCGCTGGGACTGACGATCACCGACAACGGCGCCGGCTACGCCTTCATCAAGCGCGTCAAGGAGGGCAGCGTTATGGCCCGGATACCACACGTGCAGGTACAGGTATGCTGTGCCGCATACATACGCATGTGTGCTGTGCCGTGCGGTTCCATGCATATCGCCGTCATCCCGAAGTGAGGGAAGATGTACACGACCGAGGGGGCAGGGGCTCAGAGGAACTCTGTGTCAGGTGATGCCGGTGGATGGGTGTACTTTTGTATTGTTTGGCAGAATGTGTCCGATAGTTCATGTGTTCGTGAACAATGCTTGAATCTTTGGCTGACGTTTAGTGATGTTTGGCAGTTACGCAGAGCTGCGAAGCCATCGCCACGTGCCCTGATTGCAGGTGGGCGACCACATCGAGAAGATAGACGGCGTCAGCCTGGTGGGCAACAGGCACTACGAGGTGGCCAAGAGGCTGAAGGACATCCCGGTCGACAAAGCCTTCCTGCTTCGGGTGGTGGAGCCTCTGAAGGCCGGCTTCGGTGAGCACCAGGCCCGGCTCGGCATAACCAGATGACGGGAAGAGCATCACTGCTCACAGTGCAAGCCTTGCCAACTCTGCGTGGTTCATGTGGGGATTCGCACAGAATCCTCGCCTGTACCGCATCGACACGTCATCCCCGGTGATCTGTGCTATGGTGCGGTGCATCCCACTCCCCACCGTCTGATCTTCGGCCGGGGTAGTTCGGACGCGTCGCGCGCCAGTGACTTGACCCGATCCGCCCGCCCCACCCGCAGCCAACATCGGGCCCCGCTCCGACCCGCGCGCCGGCAAGAAGGCAGGCTACGGCTCGGGGAAGGCGACGCTGCGCCTCAGGGCGAACGGCCCGGCTCGACTGGAGGACGCCGTGAGTACTGACTGGCCGTCGCCGCTGCCGTCCGACTGGGGTCGCACCGGGCACGCGAGACTAGAGAGGGCCGTCATGGATTGTTTTCCGATCGTGGAGATTTTTCTTGAATTTTCCTCTGCCGAACCATAGATTCCACCGCTGGTAATTACCATGATTATATATTCCACCCGCTACCCATTTTTGATTAACTGTATCTATCCTCCCCCTTTGTATTTTTTTTTTTAAGACTTCAGTTCGAAGTTATAGAAAAGTGTCAGAACGGTTACAAAACGTAGCCTTTGCAATGATAATTATAAGAAGTATTCATAGAGCTAGCTATGAATTCAATTTAAGCATCAACATCGTATAGTGCTTCTTGAAGGACGAAGTCCAGCATCTTACCTACGCCCACAATTTCCCCCGAAACTGTACTCGCTCCAGCCCGTTACCCATGCCGCCCGTTAGTATGGATGTCCATGGACTTACCCAACCAGTGAAGTCCGTGAGACGAGACCAATGGTGCGGCAGCGGCCGGGGTCACGTCGGGGGGGGGGGGGGCGCAGCGGTTAACGCAGACGCGTTAACCACTGCGCGTCTGGGAAACCAGAGGTACGGGGTTCGATTCCCCGCGGTGCCCGCCCTTCCTGCCAGGGTGAGAGGCAGGCGACGCCATACAGCCTCAGCAGCTGAGTGCGTCGTAAAGCCCCAATGACCCAAGGTCGCGTTGGGCTACCGGGTCACACCAAGCGTGCGCTTTCAGAGGACCCATTAATGTTGCGATGATTCTGGCGTGAAAATCGCCGGAAGACCCAAGTCGTTTACGAGAGGCGCGATGTTCGTCTTCTCCGCGTCAGGTTGTGACGCCTTCCGTGTTCCGACAGCCAACTGACATGGTGGAGGCGGCTACAAACAAGATCAACTCTCTTCTGGAGAGCTTCCTGGGCATCAACGACTCGGAACTAGGTGAGGCGACAGTTCAGTTGCCTGACCGGGATATTACTACCTGTTTTGGAACGTGAGAGATAAGCATATCCGATGAACCGAGGCATCGCCCAAATATTTATGCAGATTAGCAGATTGACAACGTCGGGCCTGCATTCAAACATGTTATCGCTAAATATTTGTTCTGATCAGTACTCCTCTGATAAATTGGGGTCCCCTGTGCCAGCGTTTCGTCAACGCCAACGTATCAGAGCATGCCCACCGGCATGGAGGTCTGGACATGTCAGCCCGGTCTGGGCATGCCATTCCGGTCTGGCAGGCATGTCTCGTTACGGAACGGATGCGATCACCTTGTCCCGATGTCAAAGAGTTCAGCGTTGACACCACCATGCCTCTGCGGTTCCAGCTTTCGATAACTCGCTCTCATGCCCCGGTTACAGCCACGCAAATCTGGGAGCTGGGCGAGTCGAAGGCCAACACGATGGAGTTCGCCGAGGCTATCGACGGCTCGGACCTCGAGGCCTTCGGCTTCACCGACGACTTCGTCATCGAGCTGTGGGGCGCCATCACCGACGTCAAGGCCGGACGGGTCAAGTGACGCGCCGCGGGCGGGGCCGGCTCGGCTCGGCTCGGCTGGTCACGTGCCGTGACACTGGCCTGCCTGTCGGCTCGGTCGGTCCAGTGACGCGCCGCTGGCACGGTCACTGGGTCTCAGGCGTCTGGCTGACACGGATCGACGCCGCCGGCCGCCGGCGCGCGTGTACCGCGTGAGGCGCTGGGAGAGGCGTGAGGAGCGCACCGCCTGGCGAAGTACCGGGCCGGCTGGGTGCCAGAGGACGCGAGACGGGACGCGGCCAGGGATGGGCATACGGCAGAGTAGAACCGAACCCAGCTGGCCGAGACGGGCGGGGACCGGCGCGGCGCGGCGGAGTCAGACGGTGGTGCTGCTGGCCATCCGACCGCCGGTCAACACATTCCTACACGCGCGGCCCGGCCTTCCGCTCCGAACACGGCGGTGCTGGTGGTGCGCGCCTGGTGTGGAGAACACCTGTGCCAGCGCCGGCTCTGCAGCCACAGCCAGGACACAGTCGGCGGTGGCGCCACCTAGTGACAGCGGTGAGAGCCGGAGGAGCACTTTCTTATAGGTAGTCATCGTGACAGTGATTCCCACTTGGTATTCCGGAAATACAGATGTACCCAGACTTCGGTGTATTTTGTCAGAAGCGCACAGCATATACTTGAGTGATCGGAACGAGGCGTGGGCGCCATCTTTAGCTGGATAAGCGTGACAGCAAGCTAGTGTGATGAAAACCATCCTGTTGGAGAGAAATGTGCGTTGTTGGTCACCTCTTAGCCACATGCCCGTTGCAGTGGGAGGCAGGGCAGAGTGGGCACGCCGATTTAATAGCAGCACATGTATTTGCAAAGGTAAACTCATGCATATATGATAAGTATTGTTCTACGCACATCTTTCAATGATCACAAACACGTATCAACTGACTGAAAAACGCAACATGTGATAGAGACCCATGTAAAAACCAGTCCCTCCTGTGGTTCGCCTAAGCGCAGTAAATAACGCAATTTTTGCTTGCATCATGTCATGAGGAATGAGCTATAACCGAATATGCATTGGTGGTTGCCGCATCAACAACCCACAAAACAAACATTATCATGATATATATTTGTTTCCAAAACGTTTTAAAAAAGCAAGCAAAGGCGCAGCTTAAACAACATGCATATCACACACACAGTCGACGCAGAGGCTGCACCACCGTCATCTCCTCAGTAATGAACGCTCCAGGTAATCTGAATATCGCATCATATCAATAAGCCAAGATTTCCCGAGCATCAACCTTGCGCAATTCAACGCAGTACAACAAAGCCAACAAACACTTCGGGCAGACGCATGCTAGGTGCATCGGACGTAATTACGTGTGCAGGGACGCCAAAAATTACGCCGTTTTAGATCTTCAAAGAAAGCAGAAGACAATACGCATTCAGCGCAAAATCACATAAGCTTCGCCGTCCGGCCTCCAGCCACGTCAAGACAATTCGACCAGCACATAATCTTTGTGACGTCACGTGGAATCTGCGCTGTACGGCTTATCGCATATCCTGCGCGGCTATACCTTTTGACGCAACCGTTTTAGCGTCCGACGCATCTAGTGTATGCTGGAATTCACAGTTGCACAACCCATCATTAGAAATATTCTGGCAAAACCAAAAGCAGCCCGTGGATGTATCCCGCAGTGTGGTAAGAGCAAAACCAAGCTAGAAAGCCACCCGCTGTCAGTTGGTGGCGCTGGCTCCCACCACATGGCATCGCGCCTGTCACCAATTGACCGCCGACGACTCGCGGGATCGCGATTGCACTCCGGTAAGGCCCCTCGTGCCGGCTGCCGGTCGGCGCGGCCTGCTGCTGTCTCAGCTGTCCTGCAGCACAGCCATCTGCAGAACTGGCGTCATCAGCCGGAGCGCGTCCGAGCAGAACTTCTGCAGATAGCTCGCCTGTAAAGCACGCGCACGGGCTGCTGCAGGGCTGCACTCGGTCTCGGCACCGCCGTTGGACCGCCGCGAGACGCCGACCCTCAGCAGGGGATGGCGAGTGCAGAGAACAGAGCTGTTACACACATTTAGTCGGATGTTTGCACGACTAATGATTTTAGTCGGACTAATGCCTCGGAGAATTATCAGTAATGCCTGGCTACGCGCATCTCGAGAGCCACTCACTTCAGAGGCCTCCGACAAGCATGTGAGGCCACGACAAGGACTCTGCCCTCTCGCAAACAGCGGCCGGCTTCACAGCCCCCAGCACAAACCATAAGACGGCGCCGTGACCTAGCCTGGCGCGCGCGCCGTCGGCGGCCGCGCCGGCTGACCTCGAGGTAGATGTCGGTGGTGGCGGCGGCGGCGCGCTCGTCCGTCTGCCGACTGAGCGTCTCGGCGAAGCCGGCGGCCGTCCGTCCGGCCTCGGCCGACACCAGCGCCGCCAGGCGGGCCAGCAGACGCGCCGCCGCCGCGCCGTCGCGACCGCCGCCCTCCACCAGCAGCAGCTCGGCCACCTTGTGCAGGAACTCGGCCAGGCCGGCGCCGGCCTCGGCGTCGGCGCGCACGGCTCGCAGCAGGACGTCGCGCGGAGCGGCCGCGCCCGCCGCCTGCTGCTGCAGCCAGTGATTGGCCGCCGTCAGGGCCTGCCGGCAGCGACGGCGCTCCTTCAGCGGGCAGGCCGACTCGGGAGGGCGCGACGTGTCAACCGGGCTGTGACGGCAAGCCAGGGCAGACGGCGACAAGAGGGATCCGGCAGAGCCCGGCTCGTCCCCGGATCACACGTGTTACCACGGACCATCGTACAATTTAAGAATAGGTGCGACAGCATGACTCTCTACACGCCGCCCAGTCTGCTGCAATACCGCCTGCCGTGCGCCCGGCGGAGCGGATCACTGACGCTGACGCCCGCGGTGCCGGGCGGCGGCGGTGCTGCGCGGACTCACAATGACGAGCCGGGTCGGCTTAATAGGCACAGAGAGACGCGCCACCAGCGCCGACAGCTCGGCCTCGAAGTCGGCTGTGTCGGCGACCTCCTCCAGCTCGTCCGGCGAGCACAGGTCCTGCAGCGGGGGGGGGGGGGGGGGCGTGAGGGGCACGGCTGGCAGCAACCAGGTAAAACTATTAGTTGTGTGCATTGCTGCAGACAAGGTCACGAATGTAAATATTGTGGGAATGTTTACTTAAATCAATACAATACAATGGCAGCTTCATGCCATAAATACGGTATAGGGCACACTTTTCAGCAAGGTAATGACAAGTGCAAAAGAAAATTGAGACGCGCCCATTGTTTCACGAAGCGTCCTATAGCATCAACTTTATTTCACACATGTGCACCGGACTTGACCACCATAGGACTTCGACCAGATTTGGAAATGGTCATTATGACGCGCATGCCAACACATATCTGAACAGCAGCCGTATAAATCCACATGTCAAGGTGGAAATGCATAAATTTAACTGTGATCCGCCAGATTGGGCAGCGATCATTGGCCCACGTCATACAGCACTGACCAAACACGTCTTATGGAAAACGCATCACACGTTGGGATCATATTGCTATATATGATCTTACTGGTTCACTGAGAAAACGAAAAACTATCCGATGATCACAGATCACCTATACATTGATCACAACAAATCTATATTTAGAGAAACTGGCTAGAGGTATTTTTTTGTTCCGCCAGTTTCTGTCACGTTTGACTGGCTGACAATGGTAGAAAAGACCAGACCCTGGCTTCCAGCGGCTGACATCTCGGTCAGCGGCCGATCTCTTGACCGATAGCGCATGCTGAGACCGACGCACGACCCCTGGCGCAGACAAGACGGGACGACTGGACGGCGAAGTGGGTAGAAGTGGGCCAAGTGCCCCTCTCGCCCTCTCACATTTGAGCGCCACGCGCGGGTCCACCAGCAATGACAGGGTCAGCGCTAACACACAGCAAGCATGCATAATCTGACTAACCGCATTCTCACCACAGGATTTTTCCGCTCTGTCGTGAGAACAGGAGTCCCGGGGCTCCCATTCGGTGGCGCGCGCCGCCAGTCGCGGCCAGGTCGCCCACTGACCTCGATCACGTCCAGCATGACGTCGACACCGTCGTCGGCGCGGCTCCGGGCCGACTTCACGCGGCTGAGGGTGCGGCTGGAGAGCATCTCCAGCGCCTCCAGGTGCACAGTGCCTGCCAGACAGGCGGCGAGTGACGGCCGGCGCCGGGCGGCACAGCGCGCGGGTGGACCGGTGCAGCCGAGGACAGCGCCTTTTGATAGCTTAGCCATGGTAGCTGCTGGGCTACTGATAGCTCAACCATGGCAGCTGCTGGGCTATTGATGGTTCAACCATGTCAGCTGCCAGGCTGTTGATAGCTCAACCATGGCAGCTGCTGGGCTATTGACAGCTTAACTGTGACAGTTGCTGGGCCATTCATAGCTCAACCATGGCAGCCGCTAGGCTACATATCAGCTGCAGGGCTATTCGACGCACCGATGGCAGGATCGTGATTCTCTCTGTAGGCTAATGGAAATGACAGGCTTGAAGGAAATGTTTCACATCTGAAGACATTGAAGCAAGCATCACATATTATGAAACAAGCTTACTTATAACTTGTTGGTGTGCCTTTAAGTGGAAAAAGACTGCTATAGCAAGCACAATCTCTGTTTCGTAAACATGCTCCCCAATGTGTGATGATTTGACTACGCCATCGTACCTCGCACATTGATTGGGAGCCAATTGACGGCTGCTATATCTGACAATCGTGCTCACGAACGCCAGATATGAACTCCTCGACAATGACATTGTTCTTGGCTTTGATCATTGTATGGTTTGTGGAATGACAGAATTTGAACGACGTTATTGTGGCGTCATGAATGCCAAGACGACTTTGAAATACTCTCCTCGTTTTCGCGGGTGTGTAACCCAGAAACTGGGGGGAGGGGGGGGGGGCTTGGCTCTTAAGAAGACCAGGATTGTGAATGGCACCGAAAGGTCTTCAAGATGGCCACTTCAGTTGAAAACCCCACATAAATGTGGATCGCTCCCTTAAAGTTAAGTGCAGATACAATGACCACCTTGAGACACATGTCCTGGGTCAGCGTCGAACCCTCCTCCTCCCCCAAGGTGAGGGCCCAATGCACAGCTGGTAGTCAGTCTTGAACCCACAACCTCACGGTTCAGAGTCCAGCACGCTAAGCTACGCCGTCCATTTGCATACTGCGTGTCGCACACACTGTGACAATTGGGCAGTGCATGAGCACCACGCGTTCATGACGGGTCTCCTGCGATCCCTGACAACACAACACCCAGATTCTGACAGCACGCCACATTCTTCGGCCGGCGTACCGTCGCACTGGTCGAACAGCCGGCTGAAGGTAGGCGGCAGCTGGGGGCCGCCGTCGGACCGCGCCGGAGTTGCGCCCGGCACTGCGTCGCCGCGCTTCTCTCGGGCCTCCCGCAGCGCCTGCAACCGAGCATGCGCCGTGACAGAGGGGGGCGTCTCTCTTCAAAGGGACGGAGCTGCGCCCCCCCCCCCCCCATGTGACAGGCAGGGCCCCTGACCGCCTCTCCGCTGTGTCTGTGACAGGCAGGGCCCCTGACCGCCTCTCCGCTGTGTCTGTGACGGGCGGGCCCCTGCCCGCCTCTCCGCTGTGTCTGTGACGGGCGGGCCCCTGACCGCCTCTCCGCTGTGTCTGTGACAGGCAGGGCCCCTGACCGCCTCTCCGCTGTGCCTGTGACGGGCGGGCCCCTGACCGCCTCTCCGCTGTGGCAGGGGGAGCTCTCCTGCTGCAGGCCTTTGACCAGTCGTAGCGTTCCTGACGGCCAGCTGTAGCAGCAGTCCCTGTCGCTCTCACCTGTGACAGGCACGGCTTCTGTCCGCCAAGCTGGCTGATCGTGTCGTGGATACCCAGCTGGTCGTCCTGCAGCACGTCCATGGTGCGCTTGCCGATCAGCTCCAGCGTGTCAAGGCCGGTGTTGACCACCAGGGAGGAGGTGTGGCCGAGCGCGCGTGACACGCCGCCCAGCCACGAGCCCAGCCCCAGGCCGCCGCCGTCGCCATCGCCGTCGCCGTCGCCAGAGGCCGCCGGCCCGGCCACTGAGCGGGCAGCACGGGCAGTCAACCACAACAACTTCAGAGGCTGCGGTAATGTCTTCTCATTCTACTGGAAGCCGCAGAGATGGCGCAAGAGATCGTGCAGAGATGGATGAATGGGGCAACGATGTCTACTGGAATACCCTCATGCAGCGCCAAGGCGCATCAGTCCCACATGCACATGATGCAGTCACACACGTTACATGGTATGAACGAATATAGCGCGGTGCAGATGGCTTTTGTCTTGTGTTCGATGTTTCGCCAAAAGCGAGGAAGTCATACAAAATATGCTCAAATCAACAAGATGCATCAAAACGGAAGCAGTTCGCGTCACTGTTAGACCTATAGAAGGGTAACAGCTTGGCTCGCCACTCCAAAACGTAACTTCACTCGCAGATGGTCCTGATTCACGAAGATCACACGAAGCCGGCCTGATGACCACACGAAGCAGCCAGGCACGCCGACATGTCAAGCTGTACCCTGTTGACCTGCAGCCAGCCGGCTGATATGACACTTACCCGGGGCGTGCTCCGGCTGTCGCTCCGGCTGCTGCTGCTGCTGCTGATGCTGCTGTTGATGCTGCTGTTGCTCCAGCCGAGTGATCCGCGCCAGCTCCTCCGGATCGGGCGCTCCGAACCCAGTCTCCACCGTCTCCAGCACCGTCTTGGTCACGTCGCGGGCCGAGCTGATGAGGGACGTGCCCCAGGCCTCCCACGCGCCCCAGCCGTCCTGGGCACCGAGGGGAGCCCGCATCAGAGACGCGTCACAGCGTTTTGCGGTGCGCTGACCGGTCAAGCAAGCCCACGAACGCAAATATGGTCAGTGCTGCAAACGAAAGCCACGACGAAACATGATGGCGTTCGCAACGATACATGCCAGCAAACCATCCTGCAGACATGTTGAGCATACTGAAGCCAAAAATATACCTGAAACTAGTGCCCCAGTCACGCTGTGTAATGTTCCTCGGCTCTTGCTAGTCATACCTTGCTGTTGCGTTGAACCGCGATATCCAACAAAGATGCACTCAACTGTATAATACTATACAATACGATCCCCATAAGCACAGTGCAAGACTTGCACTCTTTGTCCCTAGTGACACACGGCGGTGTGGAACGTTACCCAGCAGGCGGTGCACTCGGCCCGGTGGTCAGGCGGCCAGGGCTGGTACCTGATCGTCCTGCGGTGAGTCCTGGCTGGCAGCGGCCGGCGGCTGACAGGCGGCCGCCGCCGTGCCGCCATCCTGCGCGGCGCCCGCGTCCCGCCCAGACGGCGCCGGCTGCGCCTGAGCGGACGGCGCCAGCTTGGAGCTAAGCTTCTTGGCGCCGAGCTTCAGCGGGCCGCGCCGCTCCCGGCGCTCCGGACGCTTCCGCTCCGGGGCGTCCGCCGCCGCCGCCTTCTCTGGCCTCGCCTCGGCCGCCGCGTCTGTCGGCCGGTCCTCTGCCGCAGTATTGTCTGGCGCGTCGGTAACAAGCTCATCTGAGGTCACGGACACGTGCGCTGACGACGGCGCGGACCCCGCTGAGGCCTTGGCTTTGGATACCGGGACGGTCACGTCCTGGGTGGGACCGGGCGACGTCCGATCGTCCGTCCAGCCCCAGTCGTCCTGCTCCCGCGGCGCCTCAGGCTCCGGCGACGCCCCAACTAGCGGATCACCGCGGCCTCTCCCGCCCTTCGGCTCAGGTATCTCTTCACCAGGTGACGTGGTCTCACCCAGATCTCCCCAGCCCTCAGAATCAGCGATCTCTTCACAAGGTGACGTGGCCTCACCCGGATCTCCCCATCCCTCAGGCTCAGCCTTCTCTTCACCAGGTAATGTGGTCTCACCCAGATCTCCCCAGCCCTCAGCATCAGCCTGCTCCTGAGCAGGCAGAGCAGCCTTGCATGTCCCATCAGGGTCTTTGGGAGAGGTGTTATACCCATCAGGTGGGGCTGAGGAGGCAATGCATGCAGTACTGGTCATCAGGGCAGCAGTTTCAGTGCACTTGGGCACATCATTGGTACCATGCATTTGGACTAATGATCCAGTGGCCTTTTCCACAGTTTGCTTTTCAGTTTCAACATTGGTCACCTTTGACAGGGTGTGTGACATGCAGGACACCTCAAATGTTTTAGCAGCTTCGCCTGATTGAACTTTTGAGCTTGAGTCTTCTTCGGCATGCTTTCCAATACCAGATGATAACTGTTCCTTCTCATGCCTGCTGGCCACAAGTTTTGTCTTTGTTTTTGTTTCCTCATTGCTTCCAGCTCTACCAACCTTTTTATCTTGTGTTGTCCCCTTAGCTGACTGTACTGGGCTTTCATCTTCATCACTAGATAGAGTAATGTCACTTGATTCATGACCAGCCCCTCCAGTGACAGCCTTCTCCTTCTCTTCAGGTTCTGAGTCACTGGAGAGTGTTATGTCACTTGACACATTACCAGCATCTCCTTCATCAGCACTCAAAAAGCTTTCTGAATCCTCAGAGTCTGACATGGCTTGAAATTATCTGAAAAGGAAAAAAATCAGCCAAGGTTGCACTCTATATATTTCATAAAAGATGCAAGGCAAGAAAGTATATTCATCAGCTCACCTTACTTCTTCGCACCAAACAATAACAAGCTACAAATGTGCCAGGCAGACTGGGTTGAAATACTCATCATCAATGACTTGAAGATAAATAGTGCACAAGGTTAATGGTGATGATTTTCAGAGCTGCTTCTTTTAGCCTGATATATTATATATTGCAAGCACTGCAAGTTTGTTCACTGCTGTAATTTTGGCATGTTCATCTTAGCATGCATTGGCACAAAACAAGCTCAAAAAAACAAATTGCATCTTGTCACTAACAGAAATGTAAAACAACATGCCCAAACTCGGTCTTGTAAGAAAACAATAATTATTTTTAAAATGGCAATACTTACATTAAACATGACACTACAAATGCCCATTCATAACATTAAGCAACTACAAGAGTAACTGTCAATCCCACAGGTAAGAGTGTGGAAGCTGGAGGGAGCCAAGGTGGGCTGAGCCCCCAAATTCATTATTCAACTTATAACATGTGACCAATGTATTGGTCAGTTATATAATTTTCTATTCATTCTACCATTCCAAACCTACACTCCATTGGAAGCATTAAGAATTGGTGAAGCATGCACTTGATTAAGTGAAAATAAATTCCTAACTGTTCTTGAGTTGATTGCTTGTGACATATGTATCTTAGGAAGCGCTTCACTGGTAGGTTTTCACTCAGACATACACTCCACGATTGAAATACCCCCGAACACCACATATCACAAACACAAGCACAAATAGAAACTACACGAGTATGAACTAACAATAACAGAAGGGTAAGTCCCTTTAAGGTACCCATGCATACATATGGTGCGCACCCCCACGTACACACAAACACAAGCACAGACGACCTACACACATCGCATTGCCAAAATGCCAACTGAGGCGAACAATGTCAATACTCCACAATATTGCGCATCTGAGACAAATAAGACGAGGTCTGCGTCACCAAATCATAGCGCATGTTACGTGATGTTCCACTCATATTGTCCAATTCGCCCCAGAGCTGCTACGAAGATTTTCCCCAATTCAATACCGACTCTGTGTGGGCATGGGCCTGAAGGCTCATTTCTTAAGTAGGAAGAAGGCCGGGACCAACCATTTACATTTTTGGACCCATGTGCCTTTTAAGGCTGCACAGTACTTAACAGGGAGTCCTGTTTTGGAAAGGGGCTCTGATTTGGTCACGGGCAGTGCTCCGGGAAGCCCAAAAAGGGCTTGGAGGCCCCACCGGGACGGACGATCATGGGCCCGATTGGAAGGCCTCAAGGCCTGATGGTCTGGCCGGAGGTCGTACCCAGGGGCCCAGACCCGCCCCTGGACGGGCCACTAAGTGCCAGTGAGAGCGTCCTCTGCGCCGACCGGGTTCCCCGATCCGATAAGGGCTTCTATGACGGTAAGGCACCATAAGTACCGCGCAGTTGACCCGTACCTGTGTGAGACTAAACGCCCATTTTCCCTTGCAGTGACAGAGCCGGGGCCAGCGATTTACTTGGTTGAGCTCCTGTGTCTGTGAGGAGGTCCCAGTGCCTAACAGGGGTCTTGTTCGGCAAGAGGCCGGGAGTTGATTAGGGGAACTTCTTTAAGAGGGACAGGCACGGGACCCGAATGTCATAGAGTCTCTTGCGTTGGTCGGAGTCCTCTGACGGTGAAAGAAGATATAAAACTTACAGTGATACAAGGAGACAATGGAAGGGTCCTGTGCTAGTCAGTGAAGGGGAAGGACTGCTTTTTCCGGTCCAAGGAGAGATTTCGCGTTGTGACGCATCTATGGAGGAATTCAAGCACCATTCAGTCCCTCTTTAAACTACTTTGCGCTTGACGGTCGCCAAAGACTCTACTGGCCGCAACCCTGTGTACATACTAGCATATCAGGCAAGGACGATAGTGTGAACAGTAAGTTACCTCGCCTGAATTGTTCCACAAACTGTAAATATTTACTGTCAGATAATTTTGGGCCCTGCTAGAATTCAGAAACCGCCTTCTCCTGTTCCCTTGAGCTGAGCCCTAGTCCCAAAACAAAATCAGTGGTCTGAGATGGTCCCAAGAAAAGCTAATAATCTGTGATGACTGGCGTGAATTTCGCAGAGAAGTCGCGCCAGACGTTGTGGGAGTTAAGCCTGCAGATAGCCTCATAGCACTATCCGGAATGTTGAAAATGCTCCGGAATAGCGTTCGGCACTGCCACTCCGTAACAAGGCAGAATCATGGATATTTTTCAGAGCCCGGTTAAGACGAATTATGTGTTTCACCATGTTTGGCTATGATCGTTGACCACAGGACGCGTGACGCATGTGAGGTAAAACTTGAGGATGATTTCGGAACCTGCCGACGCAATCGGAGATTGGTCATGAATGACTGTCGGAACCGTCAACGTTGACTTTCACGCATGTTTGTTACCCACGCATGGCATTGGTTACTTTCTTTGTACGTTACTTTCAGTGAGCAAAGAAGCGATGTTACGGTTCACGTGTTTCAAAGATGAGAGAAATCCTTCGCCGTATTCGGCCTGCCTATTACCATGATTAAGGCAGTCCTCATCAGAGCATCGTGCTTGCTCAGGGGATCATTTGAGAACCCCATCTCAACGCTGCTCCTCGCTCTAGAATTGCACAAGGTGGCGCTCATGCCTTCGCAAGCTCAGGCTCACAATGTCCAGTGTCGTCATAAATGGAGAGCAAGCTTATTTCATTACAGCTATACGCACTGTCATGACTTATGAAATGCATGGGAAATAGTCAGCTGCCGGGATGATTGTCTCCGAGACTTGGGGAGTTGGAGACTGTAAGGACTGTATCGACGCTGATGGCCTCCAGCGTTCAGAAAATTATCGTTCCTGGCTAGAGCTACTCGTGCCGCGTATACCACTACTGGTGCTCGAGATTGTGTTCTCATGGCTGGCTGCCTGTATGGTTCATATATGTGAACAGCCAGGCATAGATCAAAGTAAAAGAAGCTCGCAACACCCTCAGTTCAAAGGGAGCCATGTCGATCGCATACCTACGTTTTGACGCAAAACATAAGCTTTGAACACAGCGTTTTGCATTTACAGGCAGACTGCCGATGTACATAGGCATAAGAACTGTCTAAAACGGGATACGAACTGCGGTTTTGCATGTTTTCTCTTCATGCAGCACCATGGGACCAGTTTTAAATTGTTCCGAAGAGTTGAGCTAGGCGAGGTATGTGTGTGATGTGTATATAGCTGTATCTGTTTTCCTGTTTTCAGTACTCGGCTTTGCATGCCTTGCGCATACGCATGACAGAGAAAAGTAAAAAAAAGTCATAACGTATTTTTTTAATTGGATTAAATGAAGCTGTGCTGCAATGTGCCCTGGAGAGGCGCAACCAATATGTTGCATTCATCGGCCTTTTGTTTCCACCCAATGCCATAAAGGAATGCTCCATGCTTTGACTTATATTTACAAACGCAGCATTGATTACGCAAGACCCAGTTGACCACCCTTCGTAAAATGCCTGGTGACCCCCGCAGACACCAACTCGCGCACACAAATAAACCTTCAGTTGCATGTGTTAGCTGAAACAGAGGCGAACATCAACACTTTGGCACAGATGTTCTGTGTATTCGCTGCAATTCTCGCATGTCACAGGATTCCACTGTACACGTCATCTGATTTCACAACGCACTGTTCGCTGCACCGCATCTCCTGTTCCATTCGTGCGTACGCGGCTTGGTGGAAACTACGGTTTTACTAAAGCGCCACACCTTAGCCGCGTCCGCGAAGCCATTTCCGTGGCTTCGCACAGCAGCAGCGCTTCCCGCTTCCCAGCCAGACGTGACGTTGATGAGCAGATGACGGCGCGTGACGAGTGGCGCCGAACTCCGGCGGCATCCCGTATAAATAGCTCCGGTGGGTGGCGTCCTGTGGCTCGTGACGGCACATGGTCCGACCGCGTCGCTCCCGCTGCGGCAGGACTGCAGTGGAGGTCGCCAGGTCAGCCGCGTCGTTCCCTCTCATCGTAGCGGTTGGACCGCTGCGGGCCCCGGACGCGTACTGGTCTCTCCGTGCGACCTGTGGGAACACATGGAAGCCACTGAGGAACGCTGGCGCAAGAGGCCAGTGGGCGCAGCATCCGGCGTGTGTGAACATGTATCGTAGACCAATGACTCTGCGCGGAAAGCAAGAAAGCAAACCACCCACGAGCACCTTCATCTCCCCAAATGCCAGGTGGCTTCCGTATTGCCCAGTCGTGCCAGCTGCCACAGGCTTGGCACGATGACGCCGCTGGCACGACAGTGTCAGTGAAGGGCAGGAAAGTAGTAGACCTAGATGGACCGGCAACAGATGGGTCTGGCGGTGAGTCTGCATCAGCCTGGAAAGTGAGTGGCGGCTACGCCGGGAGTCGGTATGGAGGTTGGCCGTCGAACGGGGGCCGGCGCACCCTCACCGGACCGGCTGTCTCTCCTGGCTGGGTCGGCATGCCTCGCACGCTGCTGGTCCTCAGTGGTGGAAGACGTGCCGTCGCTGGAGTAGAAGGACCGGAACGGGTTGTAGAACCGGCTGCCTAGCACCGGGTCGAACGGCCTGTCCTCCCGCGACGGCAGAGGGCGGCACCTGGCAAGAAGGAAGGCACGCCGTCAGCGTCTGGCAACGTTTTCGGCAGACTTGTACGCCACTGTAAGACGGCCAGGCAAGGTCGTGGTAGAAAGCCTGATGGTAATAATGCTCCCATGATACTAAAGACACCGATCAACAGACCGTGTGAGTGATACCCGTTATCGTTGTATGCTGCTTGCGTCAAAGAGAAACAAGGAAATTAGTGCATGACGTGCTAACGTCCGGTGTTAGCAATCTTGGCTAGCAAGGCCACCCTCGAACTGATAAAGGGCTAATGCTAGTAGAATTCATTGGAAACAGCGTAAATACGATTCGGTTAAGATTATTCCAAGTATGTTGGGCTCGTTAGTTGTAGTTGATGGAGCTCTAGCTTTTCCCATCAGCGCTGCTCGTAAGTTCTGATCGTTGATCAACTCACTCGCAGTTGTTGAGGTCGAAGTAGCGACCCGTACTGCATTCCCTCTCGTTTTTGCACTTGCACATGCACGTGCTAGGTTCCCACAGCTTCTTGTCGTTCTTCGTGCACTTATAGTAGTCGTCTTCGTTGACACATTTGCAACGGCACTCACTGGAAATGTACTCCTGGAACCGGTTGCAGTCCTGCAGAGCACATCATCGGTGTTAGGCTTGAAAGCACGCTGAAACTTGACAGCGGTCACCAACACCTAGATTTCGTTGACGATAGACATTGAATGAAGGGATACTACCGAGCCCAAATTGCAACACTTGATAACGATGCTGGGATCTTGTGAGCAAGCAGGCATATTTATCTTGTGGCGTATTGGTTTTGCTTGCGCCATTCTAGTCATTGTTAAATTTGAAGATGTCACGCATCTTAGAATTCCTCTCCTTCTTCCCGCTTCCCGCTTAAATTGTTGCTGGATAACTACATCATCACCATCCTCACCGCAGCACCACCGACACCACCTACACCACCGGCATCACCGCGCATTTATGTAACCCAAATGTGATATGTGTGCAAACTGTGGCTGGTGTGCCCCGACACCCATCGTCGGCCGCTGAGTGCGGCCGCCAGCTGACCTGGGCGCTGAGCCGACAGCCGCACTCGCAGGAGGTGTGCACCTCGAGCGGCACCATCTCGGCTCCCGTGTACCGGATGCCCGAGGTACCGCCCTCGTACTCGGCCCGGACCACCTGCCGAGCAGACGGGGACCTCAGCACCACTAGGGGACGCGAGTTGGCCTGGGGGACGGGAGCAGCGGCGGGTGGACGGGCGACAGTGGTGCGAAGTCTCAGGGGTGCCCGTCAACAGTCCGCCTCCGGCAGAAGCTTGGGACCTGGGTGGAGGACCGCCAGCTGTCTCACGTCAGAAATAATATCCGACCCCTGCACGCTGTGTTGCATGCTGGGACCGCTGCTGAGTCCTGTGCCGGGCATTTATGCATATATATATAATACCACATAACCATATCCCCCGTAAGCGGGCGCTGAAATTCTGTTTTAAGCGTATATGAAGAACTCGCAAATGCCGTGGCAGTAAATATGTTACAGCTCTTTTGGACGTAAGCAGACGCAATGATAAGCGGCTTTAATGCGTTTCCGTTTCGGTACGTTGTGCTGCATCACACGTAGACCACTCAGTGCAACCCAAAGGTAGATTTGGACCGGTTTATGTCATGTCCTGCATTAGTGCTGTCAAAAACGGCCTGTCCGAAAGCGTGCGACGTGGCATGCTGATGCCTCCGTCAGCTCACCTGCACGTGGATGGTTTTTTGAGGCGGTAGGCTTGCAGGCCAGTAGCTCGTGGGAGCAGCAGCCGCCGCAGCGCTCAACACGCGTGCACGACGGCCAGAAGATGGTGTTGGGCCCCTTGTCCTCCATCACCGGCACCGTGGTCAGCTCAGGTTGGCACAGGGCCGCCATCGCCATCTCGCCGTTCTTGTCTGCAGCGGCCAAGCACAACGTAATCAGGGATGGGCAGATGGGGTGCTGCAGCTATAGGCCCACGGACAGTGGATCGACGTGACTGATATGGATCAAATCATCGGCTATTTTCATCGTGAATGAAAGCCGGATATGCGTGTGCGTTGCACTTTATCATGTGGCTACAGTCCACAGTGAACGTGCACCCTGAGACACGACGCAGGGGATAGTTGCCAAACGCAACGGTTCCATGCGTCATGTTCCAATTCCTTGCTTCCATGCGATGTTCAGCGGCGCAGCATAATGTCAGGCGCAAGTCAGTGGTGCCACCTATTGAGGAAGGCTAAGGCGGTGCAGGAATGCCCATCATGGATTCGATATAACGGATGCAGTTTCTGATATGCTTCCACAGTTTTAGCAAAATGTCCCCTTGTTGTCTAAGGCCACTATCACGTCATAAGAATTTACAAAAATGTCACAAAACAACAAAGCAGTCAAAACCTTTCTGTTTGAATGCATCTGGTCTTTGCGCCTCTCCCACCGATGAGTTGCATGACGTCTTGCTTATATTGAGGGTCAATGAACATTAACCCACTAATTCAGATTTCCGAGTAGGGCCTGTTTTGATCGCAGATGGAATGACGGGTTTAGATAAAGCTCGAACAAAACAAGTAGGTGTCCCTTGATTGGTGATTTGGATTATAGGATTGGTTAAAGAATGAAAATTTGATTTAAAGAAAACGATAGCATGGCATGTAAAAACCACGGTGGGCCTGATAAAAAGTGAGATCCCCCAATCTTTCAACCCCATGGAGCCTGGTAAGAATCTCTCCAACGATCATGCATGCATCAATCATGCATGTGTCCGCAATCATGCAAGTGTGCAACAATCACGCATACCCATTCAACAGCCATGCATGCGGCCCCCTGCAAATTTGCCTGATTTACATGATATCAGGCAGAAACATGCATGCTGTTCGGGAATTCAAGCAGTGTTGCTTTTTTCACTTACTGCCGGAAGCGTTGGAGGAGCCACCTGAAACAGGGCAAGAGCTTATAAGTTGGTTTTGTTTACGTAAGTGATGCATTGCACATTGCCGTTTTCTAGACGAAGTGTGCTACGCATTCAAGGGAGGATATCTAGGTACCCGCGCAATGTTTTCGTAAGTAGGGGCCCAACCCTTTGGGACCCCCAACAGGAGCCTTGTGGTCTGTGAACAATAGTGACAACGCATTTGTCTTTCCTTCAAAACACCCGGTGCTGTGTTTTGGTGTGCTGTGGTGAATAATGTGAAATCGGGCGCTCCGCGCGTGCTCTTACTCATGTGCCTCTCCCCATGGCTGGGTCTCATATTCGCCGAGAGGAACATGGGCTGACGTGCGACACCTTTTGGGTGCTGCTGGTCACATAATCTTTTATGTGCTCCATTTTTTGTTGTTCCTTCCTTGGGGACAGGCTCTGTAAAGGGGTATGGTGGCAAACTGATTTTCGTGCTGAACAGGAGGGTGATGTCGAGTATAATGATGCAACTTCTATTGGACATCGGACGAAAGAGAAGCAGCTTCTAAAGTGATGCGCCCGTCCACGTGATCCCCCAGCAACGACCTCCTTGAGGCAAGTGATGGGTCGCGCTCTCAGGTTTTGGTGCTCACATCCTGTTAGAAATCCGGCGCGCTCCACAAACAAAAAGCCTGCTCGGATGTCTGCGCCACATCACTGTCAAGCCTGTATTTGAGCATGAGGACAAGGCTCCCCGAAAGCGACGCTGGCCTAGATCGCTCAGTTTGGCTCCGTACCGGGGCAGCGAGCCATCCGATGTGACTACGAATAGAAGGATTGCACATGCGCGTAGTCAACGTTGCCTTCCAGGATATGTGCGCAGTCAACGCTACCACCAGTGAGTTGTGCCAACTGAGCTACGCACAACTTGAAACAACTTACACGATCATTTTGCAAAGCATATCCTTATCGTGCTAACGAGCAAACGATATGACGAATCATCACCGAATCGAATATATACTATATATATATATATATATATATATATATATATATATAATATGACGAATATATAATATATATATAATATATATATATATATATATAATATGACGAATATATAGTATATATATATATATATATATATATATATATATAATATGACGAATCATCACCCACCGACACGTTATTTCTGACGGTGCAAATGTCACGACGAGCATCGCACATAATGTGGACTTCAAGACTAACAGCAGGAGACAGGGGTCATCGCCGCACTCACCGAAGCGGGTGCTGAGTTCGTCCTCTCCGCCCACGTGCGCGTTCCGAGCGACACCTGCAAGAAGTGATCAATGATGTCACAGTCGATGCACCAATTATTCCGTGCACACTGGATTTCACGGGCCACCACCAGATGGTGCGGTGCGGCAGCGTTTTGTAACACCAGGAGCATCAGAGAGCACCAATGTCCTGCGCCTCAGTGGGACGGTGACGCAGTACAGCTGTCAAATGACGTCACGGCGCAGGCTCGGGGGCATCTGTGTGGTGTCAGTGCCAGGGTGTTTGGGTGCCGGAAAATTATAAACCAGTCTTGATGCAGGAAACGGGCGCTGCACGGTGATGGTCGCACTTTGTTTGGGTTTTTAAGGGTTCATGGAAAGTAACTGCTGAAAAAGTAGTTGCGTAACAGCTTGTTTGAAACGACGCATGATTGTATAGGTGTACTGTGATACGCAATATCATGGCATGATTTCATGCATGATATTGCGTCAAGCCTTGAATTCGATATTTGCATCAACGCAATATGGCTAATGGTTCGTGGATTTGTTCACCAAATTGTGGATCATTATTGACCCGATTGATGGACTTGCCGAATACATGATTTACCGTAGTCAAACGCGCGTGCGTTGGGGTGACAAATTCAGAAAACGTAGGCATAAAAGTCATTAAAATGGTTGTCGCTTCGGTCTCTTATGGCTGTGGCATCGGGCCCTTATGGCTGTGGCGTCGGTCCCTCATGGCTGTGACATCGGTCCCTAATGGCCGTAGCGTCGGTCCCTAATGACCATGGCATCGGTCCCTAATTACTGTGGCATCGGTCCCTAATGGCTGTGGTGTCGGTCCCTTATAGCCGTGGCGTCGGTCCCTAATGGCTGTGACATTGGTCACTAATGGCCGCGGCATCGGTCCCTAATGGCTGTGACATAGGTCCCTAATGGCCATGACATCGGTCCCTAATGGCTGTAACATCGGTCACTAATGGCCGTGACATCGGTCCCTAATGGCTGTGACATTGGTCACTAATGGCCGTGGCATCGGTCCCTTATGGCTGTGGCATCGGTCCCTAATGGCTGTGGTGTCGATCCTTTAGAGCCGTGGCGTCGGTTCCCAATGGCTGTCACACCGGTCACTAATGGTCATGGCATCGGTCCCTAATGGCTGTGACATCAGTTACTAATGGTCGTGGCATCGGTCGCTAATGGCTGCGGCACCAGTCCCTGACAGTTCCGGGACGGCGTGTGCATGTTGGACCTGTGGGAAGCTTACTCACTCTGCACGTCGTATCTCATGTAGCTGGGCCGATCGATCAAAGGCTCCAAATCTCGAATGCTCTCGGCCTTATTCAGAGATTCAGCCAAGGAAACTGGAATCTGTCGGCAAAAAAAATAATCAAGTCGGTCCGAACCAAGTCCGGGCAATTATTGAGCCAATTCCTATAACAAATATCAGGTTACACAAAGCGGCGCAAACGCATTGTTATCTTCGGTGGGGGCACTAATCTATGTTCAAATAGACAAACCACTGGCACGGCTACATGTGTACGTAGTCCGGTACGTCCACATCGTCTGGCACGCCTTGGCATCGTCTCGTCTGGGGCGTCCGTATGTGGCCTCGTCTGGTACGCCTGAACGTTGTCTCGTCTGGTGCGTCTGTACGTCGCCTCGTGTGGTACGCCTGAACGTTGTCTCGTCTGGTGCGTCCGTATGTGGCCTCGTGTGGTACGCCTGAACGTTGTCTCGTCTGGTGCGTCTGTACGTCGCCTCGTGTGGTACGCCTGAACGTTGTCTCGTCTGGTGCGTCCGTATGTGGCCTCGTGTGGTACGCCTGAACGTTGTCTCGTCTGGTGCGTCTGTACGTCGCCTCGTGTGGTACGCCTGAACGTTGTCTCGTCTGGTGCGTCTGGTACGGTACCAGGCTATTGCTGCAACCGGAGCCAGGTGCTGGCGGGTCTTCACTTCTCAGGTCATGTGAAACACTCTCGCTCGCACTGAATCAAACTTTTAGCCAAGATCCGCCAGCACCTAAACATGTCGCTGCACAACCGCCCAACACCAAGCAGATTAGCGGAATCAACCGCATCCTTTTCAGAGCTCACGATCACTCAGCACGCCTCATGCTCCCGCCCACCCCTCCCAGCAGCTGCACGCTCCGTGCCCGACTCACCCCTGGCACGCTGTTGGCTCGCTCAAATTCGTCATGGAAGGTGATGGCCTGCGACGAGCGGCGGGAGGAGGAGCCGAACCTCCCGCGCCTCCGCAGGCTCGGGTCGGCGACGACCGCCGCCACCAGCACGCACGCCACCACCGCCGCCGTCCTGAACTGCCGCACCATCGTCCTGTCTCGAGCTGAGGCTGGAGGTCACTGGTCGTCCGGTGGCGCCGCACGTGCTTAAGGCCCGCCGCTGACCGGCGCAAGTGGATGATTGGGGCGCCGAGCGGTCGGCCACCGCCGGCCGGGCCGCGCGCGGCCTCTGTTTACAGTGAACGTGACATTGCCCAGGCGCCGGTTCGCCGTAGCCGGGGTGGCGCGACGGGCGGCGCAGCGCCCGCGTCACACCGCCGCCTCGCCCTCGTGCAGGGCTCCCGCTCCGACCGGTCATGTTTCGGACTGGCCGGAAGCGGGGAGGGGCGACGCGATCACGTCCCCTGCGCCATTGATTGAGCTTCCCGGCAGAGGCTGACGCACAGTTCTGTCCGTCGACGGCAGCTGGATGACGCACCGCGCCGGCCACCGACGCGCTTCCGGGGCCGCGTCAGAGCGCATCTGGACGCGGCTGATCAAAGGGCAGAGCCTGCCGTGCAACATGTTGGTTCCTGGCGCATCACAAAGATTGAGAGAGGTTGTGACACATCTAAAGAAGACTTCACGAAATGGGTTGCCCATGACTCAGTTTTACTTAAAATTTCATCTTAAAATTTTCACTGCTTTTACTTCCTCATTTTCTGAAATATATATGCATACATAATGTCAAAATTAGGTGACGAAGGTGACAGCTTTGTTGCTATAAATAACTGAAATACGCCATCTTATTGACGTTTTGTCGCCCGACTATCGTTTCCTTTTCTGAAATGTAGCTAGTGTGGACCGAAACCAACCGCCGTTTGTTTTTATTTAGCAGGCTAAGTAGTTGCCGAGCTCACGGGGTGGATACACCCTCTCTTCCCCTGGGATAAGGACGACACGAAACCCGCTCGGACTGGGCTTAAAGAAAGCCGACCGATTCCTAGGGTCCGTGCACATCTTGTTTCTAACATACCAGCATTTATCAGCGCCGGTCGTTGCACAGTAAAAACATTGCATGCCACAAAACTGTTTGTCTTGAGCTGGCAAGCCTGGGTGCAGCGTGTATACAGCTGCTGGCCATTTACACAGTCATGCGGTCAAACGTCGAGACTGCCTGTATCCGTATGACATCAATCAACAGCTCTGTGGATCTTGGGATAGCCGACCTGTCTGGCAATAAACATGCACATGCCTAGTGGCATGAGCTTATCTTGGGTACCGTACATACGGATGACATTTACGAACTGAAGTGACGCAATCGCAACCTTGAGAAGTGGAAATCAGCACGTTGGGCAAATTTTGCCCGTGTTACTATATTTGGGCATTGTTTTGTTATCAAGAGGGCAATTATCCGGTCTGGACGGAGAATAGCAAAGTTTTTAATTCCTTTCAGTCAAAAATTTACTGTCAATTGGGCTTTAATTCGCTCGTGAAAGATGGGCCCACTCCGCCGCATATCATGGCAGCCCCTATCCCCGCCGCGAATTCTGTCTGCGCCCCTGAGGTCATATCGTGGTCAGTGCTCAGATATATGCCTTCTTTCTGCATAGAATTCACTCAAAACCTCTTCGGAGGTCAATATATTGTGTTCAGAATATTCTAGGCACGAATTTGGACTATTCGGGGAAGTCACTGCATCGAAGCGGGTATTGCAAACGCCTTCCAAGGGAAAAATAGGAAAGCTATCATTTGCAGAAACGTTGGAAATGACTCCACCCCACCAGTCATAATGAAATCTTCGCCCATGACAACAGCACAATTGTTCTATCTGTCAAGTTGCATGACATAAGCGTGTGAAGTGATTCTGTCACTGAAGCTCAAATGGTATGTTTGGTGAAAGTTACACGGTGCCAAATTCTACCTTGATGCATATAGGCAGCATGCATGATAAGAGCTGTAATGATAAGAGCTGTAATATGCCAAGATAAGAGCTGTGAGCCTCAGTCGTCAAACAGCCAGAAGGTCGCTCCATGCCATGTCATGATGCTGCGCTTCAACCAAGGACGTAGTTTACTGCTCAATGGAGGTCCCCTCACCAACTTTGGGAAGCAAGTGGGCCGAATCCGCGAAGAAACACGTTTACTGGCGTATTTGGCGGTATGTTGAGTAATTTTTCGTTGTTAACCTTTCCCCACAAATCATTTTGTAAAAGTACGCCGCTGGCTCCATCCCTCCTATTTTAATTACCGAACGTATTGAAGCCACAATCTCATGCTTCGCGCAACTTTCATACTATGCCCATAAAAAGACGTCACCCCTTTTGTCGGACTCCAGACCTAGCTCTTTGTCATAAACGTAACGGTCATCCTCGACGAGGCTATTCACGTCCGGCGTTCCGCGAACCTGCCGCGTTTAGCGCCGTCCGTCGGTGGCCGGCGCTGCCGGCCGGCGTGGCGGCGGGAATTCCGGTCCTCGATCGCGCCGGTGGGCGTAAACAACTGGGGCCACTCGACACTGCGAGCCCGGTGGCGGTGTCGTCACCGGCCGCCGTCCTGCACGTGGTCGGCATCGTCACGCCCCACGTCTGGTCTGACCGTGCGAGGCGCCGGCACGGCACGTCCGTCGCCGCGCCGTGCCGTGCCGCGGGCTTCACCGCGTAGGCGCCAGCAGCGCCAGCACGTGCGCTGCAGTGGCGGCGATGTAAGTTTTTTCTGGTTGTTCTGGCTAGTAATAAAATGTGTCCTAGAACATTAAGGTCGTTCCACGCACATGCTGCTTATCTTTAATAGTCGGTGGCCGAATTCCCTAGCACGCCGCTGTTTAGAGCCACACACGAGGAAAGATTCCTGGAGCCACTAGTTTAGTGTTGAGTCCAAAAATGTAGTTCCACGCACATGCTACTCATCTTTAATAGTCAGTGGCCGCATTCCCTAGTATGCCGCTGTTTAGAGCCATACACGAGGAAAGATTCCTGGAGCCACTAGTTTAGCGTTGAGTCCGACTCTTCCCGTTGGTTAAGCTTCTATGATCACGGCCTGGTCAGCTGCATTACCAATCAGGGATGAGTTAGTTTGCAAACATAGAACAGACAGGACATAGGGGAAATTTGTTTTCAGTAAACCTATTAGTGTTTGTGGGATCTGTTAGCCCACTCGTAGTCCGGGCGTGCTGTCAATGAGACTGGGACACGCTCGCTCAGCTCTGCCTGCTACATTAGCCCTGCACCCATCATCCCATCGTGAAACTCCAGTGCAACGACAGAGTTTTGCGGAAGAACGTAACGCAATGTAACACCCAGCACGGTCGGCCCATCCCTCTGACGTCACCTGACCTTCGGCGCGGCCGCTCTCGCCGGTCGCGGACCACGCCAGTCTCCAGCAGGAGCATACAGCGAGCGCCGAAAACGGTTTCAGTCCGCCCCGCCACGCGTGCGTGAATCGGAAGGTTTAGTCCGCCCCGCCACGCGTGCATGAATCGGAAGGTTTAGTCCGCCCCGCCACGCGTGCGTGAATCGGAAGACGTACAGGCTGTCGGTGTTCAGACAGAAGTCATTCTGATTTTTAATGGTCTGCCTGCCATTTAGGTACAGCGTCTACGCTCTGCCCCGATACGTCATCGAGACGCAATCCACTCATTACCCGTGGGGTGTGTTTGTACCCACCCGTTTCCCGGTCACCAACCGTTTTTGCACCCAGTCAATGCTCCATTGTTGGCCTTTTTCACTGCTTAAGATAGAACTCTGAAGAATTTTCAAGTGCATTTGCAACTAAAGTCATACTGTTTCGTGAATGATTGCACATGTAGTGAGAATGAAGGTATCATGCTTAAAAGAATGGCAAGAAACGGCACTGCAGCACCATCCGCTCTTCTTTCTCATTCTTGTTTTATCCTGCCCTGTTCATCACGGCGTTCCGTTTTTCCGAGACAAGCCACATGAGCCAGTGACGCATGGGCCTTCTGGCGGGGTTTTGGCCGATTACGCAGCACATATCCCGTACAGGGTTCCCTGGGCAGACTCCGTCTCGGACGGTTGCCCCCCCCCCCCCCCCCCCCGGCGCGTGCAGGCCTGCTCCACCTTATCTACTCTCCTTTATCTCAAAGTTCTAAAATGTTCATCATGGGCCCAAATTGCTAGAATCCAAACCAAACTAAGCCGTGCAGCACTCTTAAAGTAACCGCACAAAATTTTGTAAGCGTTCATAACCCATATCAGAACCTGCACCCGATTTTTTTTTCAAATATGTATTTAATGCAATTCGCCACCCATTCCATATCACACAAAAAACTTGCGTACCATGGCCACAAAATGTGGCCTACGCGGCATTTCAAAGCGTAGTGGCCATTTGAGACAGGTGGGCTCGAATGTTCGCCACGCGATAATGAATTGGGATCAGTGCAAGGCTGTGGCTTGCCGTTGGTTGTGTTCATGTCGTGAGAAGCTGACTGGTTTGAATAAAACATAGCCAGCCGTCAGTTTTTGTATTACGACGCTGAGCGGCTTTTCTAAGGATGTACCATAACAGGCGTCACCGGCAATAACGTTAAAAAGCCCTGCTGATCTAGGAGGCTTGTTTGTGAATACCTAAGCTGTAGCTTTAGAGGTCAGTGGAGGACGTTGGAGCGACATGTGTTAGGACTTCATATGAGGCTTTCTTCTGCTAAGAGGAATAGTGGCTTTGAGGTAAGATGCCGAGCATCGCTAGTGTAGGTCTCTCACACTGCCCATCGGACTTCAAGCTTAGCGGTATAATCGGTGGACAGGGGTGAGATAAAACGTTTTCAATTGTCATCATATTGTATATAGGTTTAAGTGAAGGTGCCAAAGGTATTCACAAATTTTATTTGCATCTGTTTATACCAATATTCCATGGGCTTTGCGCTAATTCATTGGGATCATGCTGGGAAGTGCGAGTTCTGCGCCGGTGATGATTATACGAAGGTAGTGGAGGTCACCATGTTGCCAGGTGATTGTGCGGTGACGTCACAAAACCAAGTGATGCTGTTTTCAGGTGCTTGTAGAACCATTATATCGGTAAATATAAGGCTACAGAGATGCAGCTTTACAAAAGATGTAGGGATGAGGGAGGGGTGCAGGAAGGAAAAAATGACTCAACCTGCCTCTAAAAGGCACTTAAAGCAGTTTTCCCCCCAGATTTGACGCACTTCCTTTTCAAAGTTGGGAGCAGGGGCGTAGTGTCTCGGAATAAATTT